TTTTACTTCTCATGAATGCCATTACAAATTGAGAAACACTGTACAAAGTCTTGTGTGGTTTAGAATTTCCTCTGTTTTAGTAAAGTCCCAGTTGCGTGCCTGCAAATTTAGTAAGTCCACGTTTTGTTTGCATTTTGTTTGAAATAACACACAAAACAGTTGAGAAGGTGTGATCACTTTGCCACATGAACACGTAATCGGCAAGAATGCTGACTTATGGACTCCGTGTACAAACTGTAGGTGGCGCTTTTCGACCACTTTCAAGAGCCATGTGAACGGAACACAGCATGGGCATAAGGGTTCGTTCTTGTAAGACACTAATTTTCTTTCTCAATGGGCATAAACCCAATGCATCTTCATGTGAGTGGCAGGCGTCATTGGCAATGCATTTGGATGTCCCTCCCAGTGGTTTCGCCCCTCCCCCCCCCCCCAACTCACCCCTCAAGTTGTTACCGTTGAGGGGGTACTTGTGCGCGGAGCCCATAGCACTTTGTATTTGATCTTGAGATCAGTGGCTTGCAGAAACGAATATGTTGACAAGGGCATAAATTTGTATTAATCAGGCATGCAACTTTTCCTATGTTCCGCTGATTTCCTCATTGTTTACTTCGAATGATTGCCATTACAAATTGAAAAACACTGTACAAAGTCTTGTGTGGTTTGGAATTTCCTTGTTTTTTCCCTTAATTTCCAGTTGCATGCCTGATTAATGAATGGGGGCCGGTTGACAATGGCAGAATCCAGAATTTCCTGGATGTTGCAAATTTGAAAATTTGGTGGATGGGGGATTGATGCTTAGCTAGCTCCCCCGCAAGTCAAAAAGTGGGGGGGGGGGATATATCCTCCTGATGCCTGCGCCCCTTCTTGTGACTTTACGCCCTTGGTTGACAACCTTATTCTTCATTATGTAGTGCATATAAGTCGGATGCAATTATCACTCCTCTGAAAAGAGCCTTGTGAAAATAGTGTGTCTTGGACCATTGTACATTTTGCTCCGGAGATGTGATACTTTGAAGCTGGCTTTTACATTTTGTTTTGTTTCAGACAAATTTGGAAAATAAATAGGTGAACCATTTGAGGAAATAACTGTTTAAAAAAAAAAAATTGTAAGTTGATGTTTATTTTATCTCTAAACATCTCCAAGGCCAGTTACACAAAGTTAAAAGTATTTGGGAATTAGTTACTCATTAAGTCTGGCTCATAACGGAAAAAGCGATCTGTCTTTATGATTAGTAAAAAATATTCTGAGTTGATATCGATGACATTTTTTATCCATGATCCCGTGAGCAGGGAACAAGCATTTTATGCCTCCATGCAACACTATAATAGTGGAAGATATGTGATCGATGTGACCTCAAAAATTTTGACCCAAAAGGGGGGGGGGCAACAATTTCAGGGCTTGGACTTGAGAATACTAACCCAATTCGTCAACCTCCTTGGCAGTGGATGGCCCTGTTTATGTAATTATCGGTCCAGTCTGGTCTGTTGATATTATTTTGCGGTCTCCAATCTCAATTACGGGGCTTTGGGAATGAGCAAGTTTACTAGATGTGTTTACTGGAGCAGGCATGCCTTTTGTGTCCCAGTTTCGATTCATGGATTCTCAAAATCGACTCCATCTACATGTGGAGTAGGTTGGGATTGCATGAAGTGTATGTGTAAACAATGCTGTGCTTTTCAACAAAGATGTTAAAGGCCTATAACGTCCGTAGGAGAACAGTAGTAACACAGATTTTGCAAGTCTATATCTTACTCTTGCACTTTACATGGTTCAATTTTGGATCTAACTTTCTCAGTAAAATTCCTTTTCAGTTTGTTTCTGTCTGCGAAATTAAAAAGTTTTCGCCTAAAAACTTATTATAAATTAACCCATTTTTTTTAGGTGGGGGGGCGCAGTGGGATGGAGCACAACCAAGTTCTGTATAATGTTGGAAATCACTCATTAAATTATTCAATAAATCATTCGATGTTCGCATAATATTTTGATTGAATCCAAGAAAGCATTGATTTATGGCCAAAAGTACTCATCAGTCAACCAACTTCAACCAATTATCAAATGAATATTAAAAAACTGAACAAAATACCCGGCAATTGATGATCGGGTCAATATCAACCAACCAGCAATCCCGATCCATAAATCAGTGAACAAATCAGGTCTCGGCGGCGGTGGTTGGGGGGAGGGGGAGACCATAAATTCAGGTGGGCACATTGGCCAGACACAGCAGGTGCACCTTGAAGAGTTCAACATTTTGACAATGAGTCCTCCCCTCCCAATAACCCATGATTGATGATGTAGGAAGCCTGCACAGGGTGGGATCCAACAGGCCACTTCCACCACTGCCAAAATCCACCCACTGACTAGTCACTCAACTTTCTTCCCAACTCAATTATAACTTTTTTTTAGCCTAATACTCCCTCGCAAACAAACAACTGTATTTCCCAACCCCCCTTTTTGATCCCCCCTCCTACCCCTCTCCTGAAAAAAAATCAGAAATAGTCCAAGGGGTGTCAGGAGTAATCTGAGCCCACCGCTGATGATCAGGGGGGCCTGGGATTGATTTGGGACCCCCCTGAGGAGGGAAGCATGGGGTATGGTGACTGCCCAAGACTCAGGAAAGCACAATTGGCGCTAATTTCCTCCAAAACCGCTCGGCCAATTATGCTAAATGTGAACATATTTTCACGCCCGGTGTTTTCTTATTTGTGTGTGTATTTCTTGCGCGGTTTGTCTTTTCTTTTTCTTCTTCTTCTTTTTTTTTTTTTATTAAATAACGGTAGTTATAAAAGGCAACCTGTTATGACAGTCCGTTTGTAGGCTGTAATCGTTGGTGACGCCTGACCCTCAAATAGGTCAATAGCTTTGGCAAGAATGACCCATTACGTTTGTCCCAGCGTAGGAACATAGCATTAACACTATCAGGAGTAGAACAGTTTGGAGACTTTGAAAAAGTGCATGACTACGTGACAGAAAACATCCCTGAACTTTATTTAACGGAGACAATTTAATGGTTTCCGATTTTGGAGCAGAGATCGGCAGTCAGCTTGGGACTGCCCTGGTTGACATTACAGTGTCCTAGAAGTCGCAGGTTCGAATCCTACTGAAGTCCCACATTTTTTTCTCTGGTCTTCCTGAAATATATTATAAGTTTTTTAAGTCAAGAATGATGGACCAAGCCAAAAGTAGGCCAAGCCCTTGAAAAACGCCCCCTGAGGGTTAGCAGGATAAGGCTTGTAGGGGTGTAACACTGGAGGGGGTGATATTTTGGGGTTGACTAATAAAGAGAGACCCCACGGCACCTCCAGACTCCTGGATATGCTCTCGTTCATCAGCGCAGCCTCCGTGATTCAGAGAGCTGTTTCAAATTTCCGTAACTAAAGTTGAAAATTTCCACACATGATGGGCCTTAAGTGATGGAATTTCCTTGTTTTGTCGTGGAAGTTGTGGTCTCGGGTCGGGGACGAGCCCCTATGTTCAGAACAATCCCAGCCAAAAAAAAAGTTTGACCAAAAAACCTTGGTGATTGTCTCCATATGTCTGCAAAAAAAGAAAAATGGAACAGAAAATTAGCAGCTTAGTAATTGAGCATTTTTCAACAGGTTTGCGAGAGACTTACATTTCACTCGCGCTGTGAATCGGATCCCCGCCCACTGAAAGTTGCCGATATCGGGTCCCGCAATACTACACCGTGCCATAATGCCTGAGCGTCATTTTTTTTATTGTATGGTTCTTGTGGCTCCGGTCACAACGCGAGTCTCATGGCTGTCACTTACCTCACCAATTAATCCCATCTTTCAGTATTAATTTATGGCACTGACAGTTACAAGGCAATAGGAGAAGTTGTCTCTTTCCATTCCCCAGCCCCCCCCCCCCCCCCCCCACCCACCCACCACCAACCATTATTATGGGCTCTTTTGTGGCTCATCATCTTCTTCAGTGTCCGATCTAATTTTGTTGCAACCAGAGCTCCCAGCTGTTGCCTAGCAGGCTGGGATGACTAGGCCCTTGTAGCCTCCTCCAGCTTCTCAATATATTACCAATTGACAATCGCCAGTCAACCGATGCGTTTATGCCTGGAAACTTACACTGATGAGCATAGCTTCAAGAGGTATAGATATATACACCCAGCTTCTGTCGAATAATGCTATTTTTAATGAGCATACATTTTTGTAAATTTGCACTTGTAAAGGCACAGTGCTTTGATATGTGCTTTTTACATACTGAGCATCTGCAAGGTGTTCTGTTAAAATGAGACAGAACTGGACAGAGGTTTTGCAGATATTAGGAAAGAGAATAACATTCTCCTTACAATACTGTTTGTTGTACTTCAATTGGACATTTCGTTGACAAGTTATGGCTGTTTAAATTAAAGTTTGCATTTATCGACATGTCAAAAAAGTAAATTGCTGAGAAAAAGGCCTTTTATAGTTTGGAGTTATGTAGCCGTGAATAGTTTTATTCTACGATTTTGTACTATTTCTTCAAAATAAGTGGACATATCAAAGATTACAAATATCAGTAAATTGGAAAATTGAGAAAAAATCACTCCCAATTTGCTTTTCTGCATTTTTTTCTCCACTACGACCTGTGCCCAGTTCTGTCTCATTAATTTTTTCAGGAACACCTATATTCTCTTGTCAGTTAGTTAGCTTAAAAAAAATAACAGTTAAAAACTTTGAACCATTTCAAATTTTGGATGTCTCTTTCAACTCCACCAACCTACCCCTGACAGGGGCCATGATGTAATACTGTTGGTCAGTTCTGACCATTTTCCCCCCTAGTTTTGTATGATGAGATGCCTAATCCACCAGAGGTGTCAAAGCATAAACAAAGACTGTGCTTCTTTTTGGGATAGTTTTAGGAAAGTCTTCTGACTTATTTTCAGTGGGTTCCTTGGAGTTAGACATTTTATTACAAATGACAGACAATAAATCTTTTTATAAAGACTACATTTCTTGGCATTTACAAGGTTACGAATGTCAATTTTATTTTTTTATTACAGCTCAGAACTACATCAAGGACATGGTAGGGAAACAACAGCGGAGCAAAACCGTAAGTTCAGTGTTTTCAAAATCTGATGACATGTGTGACATTCTATCAAAATCCTGTCCGGACTTTTGCACCATGATATGTTTCGAGAAATGTAAAAATAAGTGAGTCATGTTAATTTCAGCAGTGCAGTGATCAAAACCAGATGCCGAAAACTGAAATATAATTTTTTTTAAAGAAAAAAATCCACCTTATCATTTAGATCTCGTTCGTCAGTTGTCTGAAGGGAATAAACCATGTGCTCTATTTTCAGTAGCAAGCGTCACATTCGATCATTAGTTAATGACAAAAAATGACAAGCAATTACATCATTATATGATGTCCCAGTTAAACAAAAATTGAATCCCACTGAAATTTCGGGAAATGGACGGTGGAAATGTTCCATTTGCCTCGTTGAGCGGACCGTAATTGTTTGTGCCTGCAAATACAATTAAGTTGTCCCTACCAGTGTGGAGTGAATGGAGGACATCTGTATAAACTCATCCATTCATGTCAGGTGAAATTAGCCTGGGCTCCGGGAGTGATTGATGCGTGGGGAGTAAACTTGACTGCACCCCCACGAGCTTGTGCCTGCTGTGCCTGGTGCTGAACTTGCTGGGTCAAAAAGAAAAATAGGGTACTTTAAACAAATACATGCACCCTTTGTTGAAAAATGTCTTCTTAAAAATGAACTATCTGGCAAAAATGAGAAATGGTATTACTTTTTATGTTCATCTTTGTTGCTTGTGATCTTTACTTGGTTGGGTTTGTGTGTGTCACCGTGTGTTTGTTTCTGTATTCAATAAGGGACGTTGAACAATAGAGGACAATAGGGTCCCCAATTCCCGAAGGTCCCCAATTTGGCGATCGTGTACAAAACATATGGGAAGTCTTCCTAAAAAGTTAGGGTACAAACAAAAGAGGGACAATAGGGGGTCCCCGATTGCAGGCATATACACACTTGTACGTGTGTGTTAGTGGGGGGGGGGGGACAAAACTTTGCTCTCGGATTGCTTTTTTTCCTTGGACATTGTGGAAGACATTAAAATACTGATCCTGAACTTGGCAGTCTATAAAATGTATGCTCTGTACATTTGACAAATTTCCAAAAGAATGACAAATGAAGCCTCAATTTATATATTTTTACTGAGCATAGTTTCACCTTTCTTTTTAAATTTATTGTATTTAACCATTTCAGAAAAATGTCTGTGTTCCAAATCTGTCAGAAATCATTTAGGTTTACAGTTCCCTACTTAGTTTGATATTTCTTTCATAATTCTTTTTTTTCTTCAGACTGGTTACAAGCAGGGATGTAGTCGGGTCTGTCACAAGTCCCTACAAGTCCCTGCAAGTCCATCACAAGTCCTCCAGTCCCAATGCAGATCACAAGCTATTCAAATGAGCTTCGATAAAGGCATTCCTTTCTTATTGTTCATCTTCTGTTTCTTGTGACTGGACTTGTGACTGGACTTGTGATGGACTTGTGATGGACTTGTGATGGACTCGACTACATCCCTACATCCCTAATTTGACCTCGCTATCAAATTAAATGGCTAATATCATATTTCCTTAACCTTTGCTCCAAGTTTAAAACATTTTCAGATTTTTTTAGCATTATAACCTCTATTTATTAAATGTGCTCTGAAGACCCACCTATTCCAAGCAGCATTTCATTAATCATCCAGTTTGATTTCACTCTCATGTGTACTGTTTCATATTCATGTATTTTCATTTGTGCATACTTTTGTTCCCTGCTGATGTTTGTTTGTTTCTCTGCGCCTTGAGCATCTAATCAAGATGGATTTGGCGCATTATAAATGCTCTTTATTATTATTATTATAGAATGCAACCTTTTTTCTATGTTTTGTCGGGCAGTGTTTGGAAGATCTTAAGAGTGTCAAGTCCAGAAACAACGTCCTAGAAGACAACATTGCCATGCTGAAGCAGGAATACGACATCCTGAGGTAGGTAAGCGATATCTCAAGATGTTCTTTTGCTGTACCCTTCCCTCCTCCTCTGCTTCTCTTTGTCTTGACCCAGTTCTATTCACTTTTCCTCATAGATTCCTAATTCTGGACTGTAAAAGTGAAACACATAGTGAAAGCGGAAAGGTTAACTTCAACTCTGTAAAGGCACCTTTGCCACTAGCAGTCTTAATTCCTGCAAAATCTAAGGGCAGATCCAGGGGCAGATCAAGAGGGTGGTTTAGTTGCCAAGAGGGGTGTGAACAGGCATTTGCTGTGTTTTTCTGCACGATTTTCCTCTTTTTTTTTTATTGCCGCCTAAGAATAGTCTATGGAATATCCCCTTGCACAGCAAGGGTCTGTTAGATAACGGTTTACGGTAGCAACGTGTGACAAATCTCGTCTGTGAGTTTGTGAGGTTATGAAAAGAACGGAGGGAAACTCAACGTTTTCGGAATGGTACACTCTGCCCGTCGCGTCGTCAGGACCATTTGTGCCATTGGGTTACTGCACAATGATGGAACTGGATTTTTTGTTGTTTTTTTGTTATTATTCGTTGGTTTTGTGTAATGGCATGCCTGATACAAGCTATCCTTTTAAGTTTTTGCCACCTCTAGTGGCCTTTATATTTTGTTTCAATACTTATATTATTTTTTTCATTTCTGTGATGAAGAGGAAATAAATGTGATTTGAATTAAAAAAAAAAATTGAATTGATTTCTCAGCAAAAATGGTGCAGAGAGATGTAGGGTTAAAGGGAATATACATCATTTGCTTTTGCTGTAATTTTCGGAAATGGATGGAATTGGGGGTTTGGAAATATAAAGCAAATATAGCTACACTGAATTTTTGGAGGTTTTGGGTTCGAAAATGCTATAAAAACCAAGAAAAACGATCATTTTCCTGTAGTCTGGTTCCCTGACTCCATATAAGAAGAAACAGAGCAGTTTACATACATTGGGGAATTGTAAGGTCAGGAAACCAGTCTAGCTGGCTCGTACCCATTCATAGGTTTGTAATCGATTGCAAACAAGTGCAATGGTAAATTGGGGCCAGTATTTGAAAAAAAGCCAGTTGTTTCCAACGCTGATCGGCCGATCAGCGTTGGAAATTGATACAAAAATAACACTTTTCTTGAAAATGACAGTATACCAGGTGCCATAATTTTACAGGATGCTTTAGACTGTCATTTACCAACATCCTATTAAGGTATTTCGCAAAAACTTGGTAGCTTTATTTTTCGATGTTTGCAAATGTTGTATATTCCCTTTAATGATGAGCGAAACTTTTAAGAGTCCAGCCAAACTTCAAAGCAAGTCCAGCGTAACAGATTGATTTGTTCCCCTGTTCTGAGTCGCTTTGTCCTGATCATGTCTGTAGTATTTTGGAGACCTTGGTTTCAGAGAATAGGATGAGCCGCTGGGCATTGTCGGGCTGATCCAGGGACAAAGATGTAAACAGTGGAGTGAATGGTAGTACATTCCAGGGCCTGTTGTCGGCATTGTGCGCCGATTTGCTTTGCTTCATTTCAATTTGCCAAGTTACTTCCTGTGATCAATGATCAAGCTGATGGAGTTTTTGGTGCCAAAAAAAAAAGTTGCTGTGACTTTTTTTTTCAGTGTGGAGGGGAAATCCATGGCCCCGTTGTGATAAAATAGAGATGCAAAACTCGGAATGGACTTGATGAAATTTGAAGCATTCTAAGGCTGTTCTGAATACTGAATATTCAAATATTCGATCATCAACCAGATAATCAAATAGCTTTTTGCCGGTTTGACTAAAAAACCACGTGCATATATGTACCGGTACACACACGACTGTGATGTTATTTTATCATAAAATTGCGGCGCTTTATTGTCAGGTGCTATTTTTTGGGTCAATTTTTAGTGCAGTAACTTTTTTGTCGACGGTGGTTCATTGTTCCCATCCTTTTAGATGGTTAAAGCCCTTTAAGGCCAAAAAAAAATACTTGCAAGGTCTCTGGTCAGCGAGCGCGTTGATTTTAATCATGTGCGTCAACCTTTTTTTTTCTTTCTAAATTAACACGGAAGCTACAACAGCAACCTCTATTGCCGCGCTTCCTGAAATTTTTGTACCAAGGAGCACCAAGGAATGGGGAAATTGCACCAAGGCAAATGATAAAGGGCACCAAGGCAAATTATGGAGGACACCAATGTATAATGAGGACACAAAAAAGCAAAATAGTACCCACCTTGTCTGTACAATACAAGCTTGAAAAGAAAAAAAAAAGCCACCAAAAAAAAAAAAAAAAAAAACGCATTGCCGCATCAATTCCGGAACTTCGGTCTGACCAGAGACCGACTATTTTTTTTTTTTGGCCTAAGGCCAAAAAAAAAAATAAGTCGATCTCTGGTCAGCGCGCGCGTCGATTTTAATCATGCGCGTCGATCTTTTTTTTCTCCAAAATGTTCCGCGGTAGCTCCAACAGCACCCTCTATTTCCGCACCTCCTCAATTTTTTTTACCAAAGAGCACCAAGGAATGGGAAATTGCACCAAGGCAAATGATCGAAAGCACCAAGGCAAATTATGGAGGACTCCAATGTACATGTGCATGAGGACACAAAAAAGCAAAATAGTACCCACCTTGTCTGTACAATACAAGCTTGAAAAAAAAAAAAAAGCCACCCCCCCCCCAAAAAAAAGGCGTCGCCGCATCAATTCCGGAACTTCGGTCTGACCAGAGACCGACTATTTTTTTTTTTCTTTGGCCTAACAGTTATAAAATATTTACTGCAAAACACTCCAGCAGCCCATATCGATCACTGCACACAAATTTTAACTTGCATGCTCTGCGTGTAACTTTTGACCGGTGCAGCGCACAGTTGCAGCTGGCAGTTTCGAATATCCGAATATTCAGTCAAATGCAGTTTTGAGTAATCGAATAATAACTTATTCAAAAATTGACAGCCCTAGCATATTCCGAATGAAAAATAAACTGGTAGGAGTTTTATAGCAATTTTTAACTGGACTTTTCAGAAGAGAGACTTTTTCAGCAACTGTGCAGTTTGAGGGGGAGGTTGAACATTTTATAAAGGAAAGCATAGGGGTAAGAAGACACACACAAAATGACACTTGTTTACAATAATAATGAAAGGTTTGCGGAAACACCATGTGCGAATAATTTCTCAACTAAGAGAATGGTTCTGAAAAGAACCAGAGGTATAAACTCAACGTTCCGGTCTGTATGCTATGACCGTCTTCAGGAGAGTGCCTAAACACTAAGAAATAGGTGTTAGGGTTCGCTTTTGCTACTTAAGTGTTTACTTTCTTAGAGTTTAGGCACTCTCCTGAAGACGGTCAGGGCATACTGACCGGAACGTCGAGTTAAAACCTCTGGTTCTTTTCAGAACCATTCTCTTAGTTGAGAAATTATTCGCACATGGTGTTTCCGCAAACCTTTCATTATTTAGTATCTCCACCATGCCCAGCCTCAAATCTTACTTGTTTACAATAATGTTTATAAACTTATTTCCACATACCTCAAATCACATATTTACCTTAAAAAAAACTTTTTGAAGAAACAAATATGGCTGTCACCATAGTATGATCTCCGCCCCTTTCCCCCCCTCCCCCAAGAAAAGTTTACAGGACCTTGCATTTAATTCTAAGTTATCAACAATAACTTGGAATGTGCCGATTGTGACTCTTGTTACACCTGGATGACTTTAGCGGAAATGACGGCTTTTCTCCCAAGCCCTTGCAATAACAACTTCCATTGTGTGCCTGCTGCCTGGATTTTCTAAAATCCCGTTCTCCTTTTGATGGGCAGGAGAACCCATACATCAAGATTTTGGCAGTTTGTGTTTGTCAGGTTTTTTCCCTGACTTTTTGTATGAAGAGGCAACCAGATGTTTGTATCGGTGATTTTTTTTTTGGGGGGGGGGAGGTGGTTGTGGGGGCGGGAGTGTTGCGGCGTGCTTGTCAAATTCCTGTGGTCAAACTGAGCAGCAGTGGCGGAAATTTCGTGAAAGTTAGCAGGGGGCCAGCCAGCTAGCAAGAAAGCAAACAATTGTAACAGGGAAAGCAGAGGGTGAAAATATTGCCAGACATCGGATGTTTTCTGACTGTTTACCACACTTGAATTAAGGAGAAATGGACGTACTCATCAGATTTTGTACTGTAAGAGTTTTCTGAGTTAGTGACGGAATTTGTTCTTGTTCATTTTCTCCTGTTGTGTCTAATTTCAGTTTATGGAGTATGAGAGCACTGTAGGGTGCAGACCAGTTAGTGAACTCTCCTGGGCACCAAAGATAAATACCCCAACTTTGAAAAATCGGGGAAAATACTCCCATCCCTTACAGGTCATGGAGACATACATCAAGTTAAAGCTTGATTTATTCTCTTGAACTTTTTGATCAATTTTTTTTTTTGGGGGGGGGGGGGGGTTTAACCAATGACTTTTTGGTGATTTTCCCCTCCAAAAATGATCACCCCTAAAAACAGTCCTGAAGCCCATCACCATGTTGAAAAATCATCTCTCCACTCCAAGGCAAAACGGGTCTAATTTCGTCCTACATTTCTCGAGTTCAAAGACCGGTTTCGAGCCGGAACCTTTCATTTCTACAAAACCCTCAAGTACAAGGGCAACAAAACTCCTTATTTAAGAGAATAAAATTGACAGTATACAAATCAAATATAAATGCAAGTTTGGGCCTATTTACTGGTCCTCGCCCTGTAGTAGGCAGGCAGGTAGTCGGGCATCCAAGCAAGCAGCAGCCTTAATATTGCCAATAAAAAAAACACTAATTTTTAAATTTACAGCGAAGTGAACACAAGTTTTGTTTTTGTTCTCATTGAAGCAACATGGAGTAAGACCAGAAGTCCAGGCTACTGTGTTCAGCATTTGAAGCAGGTGACCATCCCACCACTGCAGCTTCTGGTGTCTATCCACTTCCCCAAAACACAACTTCCACTTGGCTACAGCCGAGACAGGCCTCAACAGCTCACAGCTAGCAAACTTCTTTCTGATCAGCAGAGAGGGATGTACGGTTATTTATGACAATCAGAAGATATTTTATGAAGGAAAAATCATCTGGGATTCAAAGTTTCTGAGAAACTTGGGTGGGAACTAAAGGAGCGATGTTTGTTTGAGAGATTTTACAAAAAGCCAGTGATTTTCCTTTTTTTTTCGAAAAAAATTGTCAGTTTCTGTTTGTGATAATCCCAAATTCTGAGCCATGGGCATATTGTGTGAACAAAATCTGTGTCGCCTTTATCTTGTGCGTCATGTAGTTCATGACAGCTGAAATGAGCTGCACAGACTTATTTCTCAGAATGCGCATGCAACCAGTCATCATAAGTCACAAACCTTAGTCATGAATTGGCTTTTAAAGTAAGTTAAATATTTCTTTGTTCACTAAATGTAGCTGGTGCTTCCAAAGCGGAAGTCCATTACAGACGGGAAAGTCATTGGCCATTTGAAATGTACGCAGGTCTTCCAACGAAAGAAACAGCCAAAGAAAATAGCAAAGATTTGTTATTATTATTATTATTATTCTTTTAAATAAAATTATGTTGCTATTTCCTATATATTGAGCATGACTTGGGACACAAAAAAAGTTAATTAAATAGGAATTAAATTGCCTTAAAATTTACTGATTTATTCAAGTTAAGAATTAAAAGGCCCTCTTGATAATTGAGCAATTTACATATTTATATGAAACACCCAGGCTTTATCGGTTGCTTTGCGATGTAAAAATACGTATTTGTTATTTTGGAAACTTGAATTTTATTGTAAATTTCTGTATGTACATAAAGGTTCTGTACCATAACCTTTTTTTGTTGTTGTAGAAATAGCAACCGAGGGCTACATTTTGAACTACAGTGTGAAGTATTAAAGTATGGCAACTTTCAAACTTGCAGAGCGCCCTCTATTAATAGCAGTCAGTCATTGGCAGGCAAAAACTGCTTTTTTTTTCAATCCTGGCAACAAACTTTGTTCTTACCCACTGTCCAATTTAAAAAAGCACTGGTGACCTTTAATATCTCTCACAGAATTTTGTGGAGGAAATGCAGAGCATTGTGGGTAATTTAGAGCATTGTGGGTAATTTACTGCTGAGGTCATTGCACATGGGTCATTCGGTAAAGTTAGGGTCTAAAGTGTGACATTTTTCCTGTCTCTTTGGAAATGTTGCATTCAAGTATCATTAAGAATTAATTCAAAAGAGTTTTTCCTTTATTGGGTACATGTAGGTAATTCGCTATTCATAATCACTCTTGGAAGACGACTTCATTAAAGAGTGCATCAGATTTACAAACTCACAAATGTCAGATGTAACACAGGGACAGGAAAAAAAAGTGGACCCAAAATTTATAGAATGACCAACATTCATTGTGCATGCAGAAGTGCTGACCATAGGGCATCATTTAAATTAAATATATATCAAACGAGGGCTCAAATAGATGAAATATCACCACTAGAGGGCGCTCTTAGTTCAAACAAAGCACGCCTGCTGCCTCATCTAATTACATACATGTAGCTACGCATAAAAAGCCAAAACAAAAATATCTATGCAATGATGTTACATAATGTACTACATTATACTTGTCTGTCCTCACATTTTAATTTTTTTCTTCATTATTTTGTTTTGGGTAATAACAATTTTGACAGTGACAGACTGAGTTGATATCAGTTGCCATGGTAACTAACAGAAATAATTTGTAAAGGACAACCTAGAGTTATTCTTTTTTTTATTGCATTGATCTAATTCGAAACTTTATTACTTTTTGTTGGATCTCAAGTCCATTTTCCTTGAGTTCATTTATTTATATCATTCAATTAAGAAAGAAAAGTGATACATGTATACTATGTATCACAATTTAAAGGGATAAATAATAGACAGAATTTAGATGGTACAACTACAACAAAAAGTTGTATGCGGTAAATACAGTGTATTTATATGTAAATTTGAAGGAAAAAACCCTGTTTTGAATGATGGTAACTTTTCTTCCTTGTTTTATTATTTGGTTTTGTCGTCTAAGTTTGTTATTTTAGCCAACTTTCTCTAGTTAGAAATCTAACTTCATTTGAAACTGCATTTTTGCCAGGGCCAAACAAATCACATTGGCTTTATAAATAGATGTTTGTTTGTTCTTTGTTTACATTGATGTCACACCATTCTTAATATATGAGTATTTTTTGTGCATATTTTTATTTTCCAGTCAGTAACAGTTATGTGTATTGTGTTGTCACAATGGCAGTCATTGAGTAACAATGTCAGAAATTGTTAACGTGCGCAGTAAACTGTTCGTGCTTGTCTTTTTTTTTTAGATGTAGTATGACTGTTGACGGAATCAGGTGTGATTGACAAAAAAAGGTGTTCCATCAAAGTATTCTTTGTCAATTCTTAATTAAAACAAAAAAGCTAATCTGTATGTTGTGCAAATTGTAATATTCTTTCTTGCAAAACGAGAAAGCAGCACATAGTTCTCACTATCTGAATTTACTTAAAATTTTCAAATAAACAACAAAAGGAAATTGACTAGCTGCAAACATAATTATAAAGTTGAACAAAGAAATTGACTGAAGTTGAATTTGAGCCACTTACCTCTGGATTACCATACCAGCGCTCTACCAACTGAGCTATTCAGTTACACATTAGTGTGTTCCTAGTTTGCCTATAGCTGGATTTGAACCTTATACCAGCGCTCTACCAACTGAGCTATTCAGTTGCACATTAGTGTGTTCCTAGCTTGTCTATAGCTGGATTTGAACCTTGTACCAGTGCTCTACCAACTGAGCTATTCAGTTGCACATTAGTGTGTTCCTAGTTTGTCCATAGCTGGATTTGAACCTCGTACAAGTGCTCTACCAACTGAGCTATCTAGCGCTATGTTAGTGTGTTCCTAGTTTGTCCATAGCTGGATTTGAACTTCGTACCATTACTCTACCAACTGAGCTATTTGTTAGTGTGTTCCTAGTTTATCCATAGCTGGATTTGAACCTCGTACCAGCGCTCTACAAACTTAGCCATCCTGTTACACATTAGGGTGTTCCTAATTTGTCCATATCCATTTCAGGGGTGCTAGCCGAAAGCCATAAACCTACCTTTACTCCAGTTAGAAATTAGAGCGGAGAGCAGCAGGTAACATAAGCCTTTTATTGGCAACCCTCAAAAGCTGCCGATGTTACGTTATACATGGTTCTTGTTTTCAGGACCACCGAACCGTATCTAATAAATATTTCACAAAAAAAATAAATAATTGGCCAACATATCATTGAAGTGTTGCAGTTCTGAAATTTTACAAGGCAAAGATAGTGATAGAATTTGCAGGAACACCTAAACATTGTTTTAAGCAATGTTATTGTTAATCACACATGCAGCATTTGTTTGCACTGATTCTGTCTTGATAGTCGACTGCTTTTTAAGGAAAACGTTTTTTTGCCAGTGAATTTGTAGTAATTTTAATGCAAGTAAGTACATTGGCAAAGAGTATGTATTCATATCACAATATTTTGTTTCCGACCCATAAACGGAAAAGTTTTCAAGTTTCTTGGAAATAATGAAAATATATTTGATTTTTATTGATTGTTTTATGACAACACATTTAGTTTTCACTTTAGAAATTCATTTTTTTCTTTCCATTTCTTTAGTTGGAGTCACTCAGGTGAAACGTAAGAACTTGTGAATAAAACTTAACAAAAGTAAGGATTATTGTACATTATTTTACTCTCTTTTATTGCATTCCTCCAACTTACTTTAATCCTTCTTAAAAAAAAACCCTGTAAATTTAATGTAAAAAGAATTACACGTAATATTTAGGGCTTAATTACTTTGTTGAAGAATGTTTTGAATGAAAGTGTAAATTATTGTAAGATATCCTGCCATTGTTTTGGACGGCAGTGAAGCTTGGATGACAATGCTTGGTTGTCAGACATTTAGTGAATATCTTAATAAATAAAGAACCCCTCCGAGGGTAGATTATTTTTAACAACAGCCTTTGTTGACTTTTTAATAATTGTTGACAGTTCCGTTTCCAAAATCCTTTTCTGCCATCTATTTACCCATTCAAACCTGTACTATACTGAACTACAGTGTACTACGTCATAATGTTATTACATTGTACTACATTGTATTACATTGTACTACATTGTACTACATTGTATTACATTGTACTGCATTGTACTACATTGTACTGCATCCTATTACATTGTACAACATTGTATTACATTGTATTTATTCCCTGATGAAGTCCTGGGGTGGGGTAACTGGCAGGGCAGTTTGAAGCGTACAGGAACCTATGGGCTAACAGCTGAAAAATTGTCGGACATAATACATGGGAAAATATCAAAAGGTGGTACCCAAATAATCAAGCCACAACTCAACGATTTATGGTAATTAAGCCGGAATTATACTCATTCTTGGAAATAATACAGTGCCTTGAATGACAATTTTAGGCCTTAATTACCCTGGCCTTCAGACATTATTCAACATCCCCCATCGTAAAATTTTCAGAAAACCATGTTGCGACCTGAGGCCACTTCAGCGGTTGTCTACAAAGTCTACGGAGAGTCAAGAATTTTTTAAAAGTATTTCCTAACAAAATTGGAAATGTTTCTCAGTCCCAGTGTCTTATCATCCTTTTTGCAATAACTGACCTTTATTGAGATGATAATATGAAGAAAAAAGTGGCGTCGGGTTGCAACGTTGTTTCCAAGTTTTTTATGAAAATAAAGTTCCTCAGATTTTTAACATTCATCATTTGAAAGCTCCCAAAATAGTACAAAATTTACTATTGTGTAAATAAAATATTCGCGAGCGGGCGAAAGTCAGACGACAGGTTCAAGGCGTAATGCGGTTCAAAAACCCTATCACTTTTATTTGTATCTCTCCGCACATCACAAAAACACCAATTGTTCTATTTATATATTTTTCTGTGTAGCGTCATGACTTTTTTGTTCATTACAACGATATAGTGCTACGTGCTGCTGGAAAGGAAACTATCATAAACCATTTTTAATCAGAAAATGGGGTCCCATTTTTCTACATACGCGGACTAACACACACTAGACCCCATGTTTGATGAAAAAAGTGTAAGAGCGGTTCTGATTGGTCGAAAGTCAACAGGAATGTCTGGGGTTGGCTGGGATTGGCCAAGATATCAAATTTGCATATGGCACGTCGCGTGCCCATGTACTTTGTATGGAAATTGCATGACATAGCTATTTCTATTTCTTCGGAAACACCCGAGTCAGAGGTCAATGCTTAGCTTTGTATTGAAAGCCTACCGGTCACACGACGGGGGTTTCATGACTTTTTTCTAGGTTATAGAAAACATGTGTAAACGAACCTGGAAATAGATGTCTGAGTATGAGAAAGGCGGACTTCTTTTCCATGACATAAAGAAGGTGAATGTGCTTCTAAAGCGTAAATAAACTACAAACAAAGTCTAAATGTAAAATTCAAAATTTGACAACGTTCTAAATTTTCAAGTACATGGTCCAAGTGTGGCCCTTTTTTACGGAGGTAGGTCAGTAAGTGGTCAGTGACATGAGCTTCCGTCAGTGTTTGGACGACGAGTGCGATATCAACGGACACGGCCTTTTACATTAACGGTGGCCATGAAGGACGCCCTCAAGTAGAAATCACACAAAGAGTATCGTTTTTTTCTCTGACAGATCAGAGGGGAAAAGGAAAATATAAGTTATAAAAAAAGTTTAAAAACCTTTTTTTTATGCCATTATACAAATTCACACAAAACTCGTTTTCCTTTTTTCGGTAGACAAAAGAGAAGGAAAACCCATTTTCATTTTTGAACAACAAAGCGCAAAAAGCAAAAAGAGAAACAGAACCCATTTTTCTTTTTGGACATCAAAAAGAGAAACAAAACTCAATTTCCTTTTTTGGAGGAAAAAAAAGGACAGCAAAAACCAAACATGCAAAGATATCCACTCATAGGATCTTGGGGATCTTTGGCAAAAAAGAGAGCAAAAAAGCAGATGCATGATGGGAAGGTCATGCTAACTCAGTGACCGTTGAGGGGGGTACTTGTGAATGTCCATTGGATTTTGATCAAGCACGCGCACTATCATGGCAGACCGAGTTACCCAACTGCAGGATGCTGTAAATCAGGTATGATTTGGGAGACAAAATAGAGCCAGCTAGGAGAAAGTATTGAATCAGGAGTTGGTGTGATTATTGAGGATTATAGTTACTCTGAATGAAAGCCTTTTAATTGTGGGAAAGTGGCAAAATTTTTGTCAGGAGCATTTTTGTGATGTGGCCCAGTTTTCGGACATTCAGCTACATTAATCAACTTTATTAAAGGGGCACTAGGTCCTGCTGAAATCCCCGAAAATTTCAAGTTTTGGATTGTTTACTTATCCTATTTCAAACATCTGTTTAAAAGGAAACCAGCCTAGTAATGTCTTACCATTCCCGAGAAAAGATGAAAAAACCCAGGTTGTTACTAGGGAGCACCGTTACTAGCCAGTGGCGTCACCAGACTTTTCGGTCTGGGGGGGCACAGGGGGGGCACCAGCATTTGATGGGGGGCACTTAGGTGGATACGGATCGCCGTCCTGGGGGAGGGGTCTAAGGGGAGGGGGTGCCCCCCTCCCCTTTGGAAAATTTTCGCATACGGAGGATGGGCTAGATGCAAAATGGTGCCACATTTGATGCTAAATTCGATCTGAAGATATCTCCAGAAATTGCTATTTTCGAGGTAATGATTTTAACAACGCGCAGAATTTTTTTTTACCAACCCAAATCTCAGATGGGGGGGCACTCGGGGGGACACTAGGTTTTCCAGGGGGGGCACGTGCCCCCCCTGGCCCCCCGTTGGCGACGCCACTGTTGCTAGCCCCGAATAGCCCCGTAAATGTGGCCAATTTACTGGACTAGGCCTACCTCCATAAATAAAGGCCACACTTCCACCATTTAAAAAATCATGTCGAACTTTGTCAAATTTTAGATTTTCATTTTCAGGCTTAGTGTGTAGTTTATTTTTGCTTTACAAGCATACTCACCCTCTTTAATTATAGGCTAATAAGAAAGTGCTGCCTTTTTCAGATGCCTCTTTTTTGTGAAATTTCCAAATTCCTTTGCACACGTTTGCGTATCAAAATTTCAACACGAAATTTCATGAAAATTAGACATCTGAAGAAGGCAGCACTTTCTGCAGCATATTCCTCAAATACTACAAGGAGGTTTAGAGCATGTTGTGGGATGAGGAACCTACAGCCAAGACACTACATGTATATTAATAACTTTACATGGACTAATAATTCTCCTTGAAATTCAAGTACAAAAAACACATCCATTATTTTCCTGCACAGCGGAGGGTAGGTTCTTAACAGAATACATGGTGTTTAGGGATAGTAGCCATATATAAACCTGTCTCTTTTTTTTTTTTTGGTGTTTTTTTTTTCCAACAGCTTGCAGAGCATTTCTGTAACAGCGTCGGTGTCCTTCAGCAGAGTGCATCTCCGGCCAAGTTCCCCGGCTTTGAGAAGCAAGGTGTCGGCCAGCTGCCAGAACCGGCCCAGTCACAGGAGGAATACTCACAGCTCTTTGCTCAGCTCATCGCGCGGACGGCTAAAGACATTGATGTCTTGATTGACTCCTTGCCTAGCGAAGAATCAACACTTGAACTTCAGGTGAGGCCCTTAGCCTTGGTTAAAATGTGGTTAGAGATTTCTCTGACCCAGTGTGACCGTAGTGATCAAAAGCTGATTCAGTCTTGGATATTGAAACAGGGTCCAGCGAGTGCATCAAGGCACCACTCAGACATTGGGTCAACTTATTTGACAAATTTGTTTGGAATTTCGTTTTTATAAATTTAAATTTAAGCTGATCTCCTGTCATGGACCCTTACTGCCTGTCATCAAACAGTGCCCATTGACCAATTAGATCATGGGTTGTGGTCAGGTGACCACGGTGGCTCAGTCAAATGTCACAAACACTGTTAGAAATGTACACAAATCAATGGTGGGTGGGGCTAATGGCGAAATTCAGAACCATCCATTTTATGTGCGCACCCCCTTCAATCATAGGCATATATAAATATGTTCAAAACAATCTTCCCCAGGAATGAGTTCGCATAGTGGTACCATGTAGATTTGGATGTTTTATTGTAAAATGCAGTCCATCTTAAAGCCAAACCGAAACTGACTGAATAAATTTAGTGTAGCACTTTTTTCACACGTGTTCTAGCTCCAACCTCTTTCTGATTTTTTAGGACAAGATTATTACCAGTTTTGCTACATTTAACTGTTACAAGTCTCAAATATTTAGTTATATTAATCTAAATGCATTGAAGCCATTTGTAGTGAACTTTCTCAGATTTTTTTCAGTAGGTATTGCCCAAACACAAGGCCAGGAGTCACTCAGGGCGGTGGCTACAATTTATTACAGAACAGAAAAGAGCTAAATATGATCACTGTTGGATATTTCTCATCTTCACTTGACAGCAAGCATCCTTGAGGAACCTGGAGGCTGACAACCAAGAAGCTGCCGCCAAACTTGCCGAGGTGGTTGAGAGAGGAGAGGCGCTGCTGGTCCGAATACAGGAGGCCCTGGGGGACATTGCAGAGGCTCAGCTCCGGACCCAGAGTGCCAAGAAAGGAAAGCAAGCCAAGGAGGTAAAGGCCGAGAAGGAGGAAGAAAGTCAAGAGACAACGTGAGTTGTACTCGCTCGCAACTTTGCAAAACTCGTGAAAGGAATGTGTTTGAGCAAGACGATGAAACTTGCCGAGTATAACAAAATAGTGGAGTGCCTGGAGACTGTGCACTGCGACGGAACAAAGGAATCACTGGCGCTCGTGCAGCAGCAGTTCCCATCGGTGTCCCACCACACACTGATCAGCATCTACTCACAGCGTGTCCAGGTGAAGACTAAAGGACACCACAGCCAGCACACTTCGCCGGGCGCTGTGGAGCATTACTATGCTAAGTATCGGAAACGGGTGTCGGACCCATTGTACAAATGGGGGACAATTTTGGTAGGACTTGCTAGTGAGATTGATTTCAGCCCGGCATTGCTGGCCCGTATCGTCCTAGAGCGCCACTTGTTTTATACCTCTGGGGACGAGGCGCCCGTGCCGAAGAGCAGAGTGACCAAGCTTTTCCGAGAGCCACACTTGATTCAGGACCCCGTACTGTCGCTGGAGGTGCAGCAGTGTGTCCTGCTGGACTCCAGCTACGGTCCCGTAGTAGAGAGTATCAAGCACTCCATTGGGGTGGAACTGGAAGTCCACCTCAAGAAGACACTCCAGGACCACGGGCTGGCATTCATCGGAGAGGAAGAGATGAGAAAGAAGGGGTACGACAAGACCCCGGATGTCAAACTCCAGGTCCCGATAGCCGTGGGAGGACGCGTGGTCAACTGGATGGAGAGCAAGGCATCCTTTGGGGACAGGCACAGTCACGAGAACTACATGAGGGACCAGTTCTGGAGCTACGTGAATCGCTTTGGTTCTGGCCTGGTGATCTACTGGTTTGGTTTCATTGAAGAGCTTGCAACAAGCTCTGAGCAGGGTATAATTGTGGCTGACGACTTTCCAAAACACTTTACAAATCTGATTCCCGAGTTGGAGTGTGCCAAGTAGAATGCATTCTTCCCCTGTATTTTCAGTAATATTTGTAGTAAATTTCAGGATGGAAATATAAAATTTCTAGTCCGGTTTGTCGCACCACAGAGTGCTGAATGTGATGTTTTTGCTGCACCAAAACTATTACCGGGGGTAATTAGGGAATGTCTGTGGACTTTGTGCACATGGTGGTTCACTTATAGTGGTGCGGGAACTATCCATGACACCTTACTTAGTGCCACCAAGGATTTGTAGTCTGATGAAACTATTAATTAGGGAATAACAGTGTGAGGACCCGGTCTTCACTGCGAAAGTACCGTGTTGGGGGATGGCCGCTGTTAATGAACCAGCCCGAAGGTGAGGTTCATAACAGCGGTCACCCCCAACCTGGTCATTACCACGCAGTGAAGACCGGGTCCTCACACTGTTATTCCCATATACCTTTTTAAAGAAATTAAAATGTTAACAGTTAAATCAGTTAACAGTTAAAATGCTCCGAATTTTGTGACTTTTCTTTCGGTGATATTTCCAGACTTTTGTGTTCATATTCAGGGGCCATATTTTAGCTTATGGGCAATTCTCCATGGGAGAGGAAAAATGTCAAAAATAAATACTTACATATTAAACCTTTTTTGTACTTTTTCCAGACCTCAATTAAATGGGGAATTCAGTTCAAAAAACGAAATTGAAAAAAATTATTTCTGGTAGAAACAGGGATTTTGGCAATTTATGATTAAAAACGTTCAGATTTGGTAAAACGGAATTACTTATGCACAAAGTATGCACATTTCCTCCAGATTATGTACATGACAAATTGAATAGGATTTGCATGTGTAACCTTGGACAATAACTTTAAATACTAAAATTACTTAGTTAAAGTACATGTACATGCCCTTGTTTTAACTAGTCTGGTTCCCAGACCTGACAACTATTCCCGACGCTCACGTCTATAAAATTGTAGGTCAGGCAGCCTCCGTGGTTAAAAATAAACATGACAAGCCCTTTTTAAAAACTTGGCTTCGTTTCCGAACTTGCTTTTTCACTTGTAGCTTTTAATGTTCCTTTCAATTTTTAAATAAATCACTTGCTTCATAATATCTTACAGTTATGTTAATACAATTGGATATTTCTGTCAGAAAACATTGACTAGTGTTGACATGGAATCTTCAAAGTTAGGCACCCAAATAGCACTGTTAGCAGGCAGAGCCGAATGAAGACCACACCGAGATTTGAAAAATGCCGGTAACGGTCGCCAAATTCAAATGAGTACATGACGCAGCAAAAAGTTTGCCCCTCGTATACGATCCGTGTACAAAATTGTCGTTGAATTTCAAGTTTTCTAAATAAAAGGAATGGATATTAATTATCAACTAGTTTTAAAGATTTTAATAAGCAATAAGCAGTTAATAAGACCTATATTATACTCGGAAATACTCGGGCACTATCTGATTGTCGACAAAATGAATGTGTTGACCAATCACAGCCTTTGCTAATTCTAAAATCTGCTAACCAGCAATGCAGCCATCAACAGACTGATTTCATTTGACCTTGACCTTTGACCTAAAAAATGAAGCCCAGACATGTTTAGGCCTACATGTACTCTTTGATCTGCTAATTTTCACCTACAAGTAGCTTTCCCCTTGAGCCATTTTACAAACTTCTAAAATTTGTATTGTGGTGAGTTTATGTTGAATTCAATGTTAATGTATTGCATTTACATATTACATGTACATGTAAACCTATGGCGTAATTCATTTACTGCCCAGGCGTAATTCCGTTACCTTGATTAAAATGCAAATTATGACAAGAGTGATTATTTTTTCAACTTTGTTCTGCATTGTAGTTAACAACAACCCTGAACTCTACAAATAACAGGGAGTGTCCAATTTTAAAATGTCAAAACTTCAGAGAGTTTTAATAATTTATGCGAGAACTCGAATATTCTTGTCCTCCGTCCGTAATTCCGTTACCGATATTAAGCTCCGCCCCTTAAAGGGTAATCTTGTGGGATTTTTTTTTTTTCAATCAATTCTATTCGGTCTTGGTTCCCTTTCCATGTTTAGATTAGTTGCCTAGCATAGAACATATTTTCTTGGGAAAGAATAATCCTTGACAAAGTGACAAATGGGCGTAATTCCGTTTCCAAAGAATTGCCCTTATGCAAGGTTATTATTACCCTAGCCCAGGTTGGACGATGTCTTCATTGCATAACAAAATGTTTGGCCAAAATTGAAAAAAAATCAAGGGGTTACCCTTGAATTTTTTTCAATTTTGTCCAAAAAATGAAATTGCTTGAAAGTTGCTAGAAAGATGTTTTAAGTGCTCTGGAACGCATTCCAAATTGATTGTTGGACAGAGGTGCTATTAAAGGGGAAATTCCGTCGAAAAATTAAGGTAAAATTGCTCAAAAATTAAGAAGAAAATTCAAAAAATGGATGACTTTTGCGCAAATGTTCAAAATTCTGCGTGTTAGAGTATAGATTGATGTTCCTCTTGCATCCAGATGAATTTCTGCCTTGTTTTGAGAAATGTCAATTTTTGGCAAATTTTGACTCAAAATGTAAGGCTAACCCCTTGAAATTTTTTTCAATTTTGGCCAAAAAATGAAATTGTTTGAAAGTTGCTAGAAAGATGTTTTAAGGGCCCTGGAACGCATTCGAAATCGATTGCTGTACAGAGGTGCTATTAAACAAAAGATTTCGACAAAAAATTAAGGTAAAAACGCTCAAAAAACAAAAAAAAATTCTCAAAAAAATGGATGATTTTTGCCAAAAAGTTCAAAATTCTGCTTGTGAGAGTATTGATTGATGTTCTTCTTTCATCCAGATGAATTCCTGCCTTGTTTTGAGAAATGTCAATTTTTGGCAAATTTTGACTCAAAATGTAAGGCTAACCCCTTGAATTTTTTTCAATTTTGGCCAAAAAATGAAATTGCTTGAAAGTTGCTAGAAAGATGTTTTAAGGGCCCTGGAACGCATTCGAAATCGATTGCTGGACAGATGTGCTATTAAACAAAAGATTTCGACAAAAAATTAAGGTAAAAACGCTCAAAAATTCTCAAAAAAATGGAAGATTTTTGCCCAAAAGTTCAAAATTCTGCTTGTGAGAGTATTGATTGATGTTCCTCTTGCATCCAGATGAATTTCTGCCTTGTTTTGAGAAATGTCAATTTTTGGCAAATTTTGACTTAAAATGTAAGGCTAACCCCTTGAATTTTTTTCAAATTTGGCCAAAAAATGAAATTGCTTGAAAGTTGCTAGAAAGATGTTTTAAGGGCCCTGGAACGCATTTAAAATGGATTGCTGTACAGAGGTGCTATTAAAAAAAAGATTTCGACCAAAAATTAAGGTAAAAACGCTCAAAAATTTAAAAACAAATTCTCAAAAAAATGGAAGATTTTTGCCCAAAAGTTCAACATTCCGCTTGTTAGAGTATTGATTGATGTTCCTCTTGCATCCAGATGAATTTCTGCCTTGTTTTGAGAAATGTCAATTTTTGGCAAATTTTGACTCAAAATGTAAGGCTAACCCCTTGATTTTTTTTTAAATTTTGGCTAAAAAATGAAATTGCTTGAAAGTTGCTAGAAAGTTGCTTTAATAATTGCCTTAGAACGCATTCCAAATCGATTGCTGGACAGATGTGCTATTAAAGGGGAAATTCCGCCAAAAAATTAAGGTAAAATCGCTTTAAAAATAAGAAAAAAATTTAAAAATGGATGACTTTTTCCTGTATCTTCAAATTTCTGCGTGTTAGAGTATAGATTGATGTTCCTCTTGCATCCAGATGAATTTCTGCCTTGTTTTGAGAAATGTCAATTTTTGGCAAATTTTGACTCAAAATGCAAGGCTAACCCCTTGAATTTTTTTCAATTTTGGCCAAAAAATGAAATTGTTTGAAAGTTGCTAGAAAGATGTTTTAAGGGCCCTGGAACGCATTCGAAATCGATTGCTGGACAGAGGTGCTATTAAACAAAAAATTAAGGTAAAAACGCTCAAAAATTAAAAAAATTGATGATTTTTGCCCAAAAGTTCAAATTTCTGCGTGTTAAGAGTATAGATTGATGTTCCTCTTGCATCCAGATGAATATCTGCCTTGTTTTGAGAAATGTCAATTTTTGGCAAATTTTGACTCGAAATGTAAGGCTAACCCCTTGATTTTTAAAAAATGAAATTGCTTGAAAGTTGCTAGAAAGATGTCTTAATGGCCTTAGAACGCATTCCAAATCGATTTGGAATTAACCCTAACCTCATCTAAAGCTACAAAATACTGCTAGTAGTAAACTCTAGTATGCAGTACTTCAGCATGTAAGTGGGCACAAAACACATAGTATTTTTGGTTACATGGTGCCTGCATACATCGTTTTTGTAGTATTCTGTAGTACTCGGTTCTTTATCCCAAAGTAATGGCTAGGACGTTGGGGTTGACGAGAGTTGACTGTACATTGTTTATCTTAAAACTTGATAGGACATACAGAACAGACAAAGCAAATCCATGATACATGTACCACCATTTCATTTGCATTTTATGTATTCTTTTTAATTATCCTGGGTGGTTCTTTTATCTTAAGATGCCAGAATTTAACATTTGTAAAAATAGAATCAATTTTTTTTTTCATAGTAATTCATGACGTTTTCATGAGAAAGTTAGCGAAAATATTTGTTTATAATCCTTCACCATCCATTGATAATATAAATGGTCTTAATTTTTTTATGTTTACAAAAAAAGTTAACGTTGAACAGAAAGCATTGCAAAATACACAGAAGCACTATTTAACATGCATGGATTGAACGTATAAGTTACAAAGTTAACGAAATAATAAAGTTGCAAGAATGTCTTTTTTTTTGCAGTATATGTCCTTTGCATTTTTAAAACTGTTACATGCTTAAAAGTAGGCTGTACTACATCTATACAAATCATGCAAAAAGTAATAAACAAAAAAATAATAATAATAAATTTTGTGTTCAGTTTTGTTTCAAAGTTAACATGAAGTGTATTTCATTTAAGTTATGAGAAGAAAAATGGTAATTTGTAACAACGCCAAGTGTTGCCCAAAGGAATGCACGATAAGGATTGGTCCACTTATCCCACTGAATGCCAAATGTACAATAGATCAGACGGAGTAAGACAAATTATCATAAAATTATCCAGTCTTTCCAAATTTCTTTTCCTCATTGTCATTACAATGTTAACTCAATGATATACAGTATATCATACATGATACAGTATTACCAGTAACAAACTGGAAATATCTATTTTTGAAAGTTTTTTCAAATGATAAAAAAAACAGGTGTACCTTTTCCCATGAATTAGCAAAATACAATTGTTTGTTTCACCTCTGAGTTGTGATATCAATTGTAATCATATTACTGATAATCAATAATCGATCCATGTGAATTAATCAATATCTGAATGTAAAGACACTCATACCATGTACATGCTGACTCCATGCCATTCACTTCTAATTACTCAATACTGTTTGATCAATAATTACTACTTTGGTCCAGTTTATTGATTTTAATTGGAAAGAAAACTGAATAATGGAAAATTCATGAAGTCAAGTCGTGTTTCCTGCAGATGTCACAAGACATGTTGCAGAGTTTAAATTATTTGTATAGAATGGATGCAGTCAAGTCCATCACAAGTCCAGTTACAAGTAACAGTGGATGAACAGTAAAAAAGGAATGCCTTTGTTAAAGCTCATTTGAATAGCTTGTGAGTTGAATAGGGACTGGACATGCTGGAGGACTTCTGATAGACTTGCAGGGACTTGTGATGGACTGGACTCGACTGCATCACTGATCCATTTAATGAAGGAGACAATTAGTGACTGGAACCCCTGACATCTGTTAATGGTTTAGATGTACAAGGTTTGATGGAAAGAATGTTGCAACCTGATGCCACTTTTTTTCTTCATATATCATCTCAATAAAGGTTAGTCATTGCAAACATGTTGATAAGATATGAATCTGGGACTGAGAAACATTTCCAATGTTGTTAGGAAAAATTTTCTTGACTCTCCATAGTCTTTGTACACAACCGCTGAAGTGGCGTCTGGATACTACATTCTTTCCGGTTTGATTCCCTTCCAAGTACTTGCTACATTTTCCTTATACAAGTGAAATAATATAATTAATAATTATAATAATTTGGGAGGCTAATCATCCTTACTCGCAGCTGGTATGCTGAATTGCGAAGGACGCGGCTACAACGTGGTCGGGCCACTGGCACGTAAAGGCGCCTATGGCTGCGGGCCACATCGACCCATATATGACCACGGAGCACAGCCTGAGATCGAAAGTGTTTGATTTTTCCGGAGGGAGAAAAACCCACGTGGCACAGGAGAGAACTAACGCACAACTCTACTCACATGTGATCCGCGGCCAGGATTCGAACCGTGGTCACCTTGGTGAGAGGCGAGCGCTTTACGCACAAGCCACCCATGCCAATAATAAGCCAATAATTTGCCAATAATTTAAAGGTACCGACTCCGTATATGTGGCAGTCGGGTAAAACATGACGACAAATACATCATTGTCGGTAAAAGCAATCAATACAATTGTTAAACTTGGTCATTTCTACAAATTCTTAAAATAGGTTTTCACTATCACGTGTGTGAAGCTGAACAGGAAAGACGCAGCTATATACATGTATGTAATCAGTTAATTTGGCAACAAAAAATTAAGATTTAGTCAAAGTGGACAATTTACTCGAACAAAAAAAAGATGGTGTTTCAAAAAGCAACAGTTTACGATGAGGAGTATCAGTGTGTAATAATAAGTAATGGCTTTGAATGAATCATGTGAAATTGGTCACAAATCTTGGTCAATATTAGTCACATCATTTCACAAAATATAACCCGCAAAACCATAATCAGAAGATAAAACCAATACATGTACATGTATGTCAAGGAGGATCGAAGTCCAGTTGGAAGTAATTCGTTTGCCATCCTCAAGGAAGGAATGAGGCTTTCGAAATGTTAACTTCACAAAGGTAAATTTGTTTCATGTGTTTCACCATGAATTTGTCAAATTAAAAATTTGACTTTTGCTTCATTGAGGTTGGTTAAAATTTCTGGTCCATTTGTGGATTCATGGTTGGCATTGAAGTGCCATAAATATAGAGGAAGAAATGAATGATAAAATAAAGAATGTACTGAGCGGAAATTGTCCCCTACCCTACAATTGAAGAAAAATTTGAAATAGGGGGAAAAGGTCAATTATGAGGCTACACTGGCCGGAAAAGTGTGTGAATTTTTGAAAAGAAAAGGCCTGTTTTTATCATGGAAATTGAAAAAGAACAAACTATCATTGCTCGGACGAATCCGTATCATTAGAATTGCAACTTCATTTCAGTTTTTAAAAATTTTAACTTGTTTTTCTCCAAGCATTTTAGCTATTCATAAAATGAGTAGGAATATCAAACTGAATAAAAAAACTTAAATTTGCAGCCATTATGTAGTCTTGGTATTCGCTTACATGATGAAGAAAAAAAACAAGCTTTTTTAAAGCATGTCCCTTTCAGAAGACAGAAAATAGTTGGTACTGCTGAAGATGGGAGACAGAGGGGTGAAACGCCATTAATGGAAGAGCTTGTTGCTCTTGCTTTCTGAAGTATACACTTTCGCTATGAGCAGTATCTATGCCACTACTTTTGACGTTCTGCCTCCCTCTAGAAGAATGTAATTTAATCAAGAGAGTCACAAGCACCGCTTGGGGGAAAAAAGTGAATACAATTTAGGATATATAATGATGTACATGTAAATAAAGCACTCAATATTGCGCAGTGTAAAATTAACGGAGTTGAATTTTTTGGTAATCCAAACAAAATTGCCGATTCTCATCACAAATGCAAAGCGACAATGCAGCAACACACCACTATGTCTGATTGTCTCAATCAACCAAAAGTTTACAATTAAAAACTGCATTTCAAATGTCATTATAAAAAATTAAGCAAACAGATTTTGGTTTTCGTTTTTTTTTCCTGGATAAATAAAATCCCTGTGCCTGAAACTGACAACAGTCAAGCTTGATGCTGATTTTTTTCAATGACAAAAAACTTTTTTCAAAATTTTCTCGAATCCATTTCAACAAAATGCCATTTTCATCTAACTTTGATCTGATGATGATTCTCATTTTTTTCTTGAATATTTTGAGGTTATGTATACATTTTTTTTTTTTTTTACATAATTCTGTATATATACAGCATAAACAGGTCTAGTACATAACCTTCAGAAAGTGGCCCTTACAAACAATAAATGGACCTAAAAATAAAAATATGATTGCAATGGAAATGAAACTATTTTTTTTGTTTTTAACATGAAAGCTGTGTTATTTGTTCTTTGCTTAAAACACAAGGAATGTTACAATTGAACTACATGTATCTTTCTTTGTCATTCACTAATCTGACACGTTTTTGTTCCTTTCTATGCAATACAAAAGGTAGGCAAATTAGATTCATTCTCAATCAAAATGAACAGGCACTTAATTTTAGATGGGGCGTCAACCCCGAATGACATCTCATATGTGTACATGTAAGTAGTACACCTATGATCAGGATGCAGTGTTGCATTTTCCATTGCTGTTCTGTAGTCTGTTGCTCCTCGCTCTCGCAAAATTCAAGAACTTTGCAGATGATGATCACACACACAGGCGTATGCAGGTCTTAGTCTCCGGGTTACAGGTATGTGTACACAGACATGCTCAAAGCTTGTGTGTTAAACCCGCACAAAGTTGAGACCAAATGCTGTTTTACACACACACGCACACACAGTCGTGTTTTACTATACTCTCGAGGACAATGCTTTGTCTTTTCCTTTGTCCCTGTAATATATAACACTCTCCCATAGACTAAGCACACAAACGCACGACCGAGGACCGATTTCAACAAAAGATGAACTCTCGAGGACAACAAAGAATCTGTTGTTCTCCCTTTGTCTGTCTGTCCTCGGGGTGTATATAGTTCACGTACATGCATGCAGATTTAACTTGGCAGAGTTGTTTCGGCATCACAGATTGTGACCAGAAAGTCATGGCTTAACAGTTGCTTTCGCTCAGACACATCCATCATGAAATCGGTATTGCTTTGGGAAGGGTTGTACATTATAGTTTGCCCCAAATAAAGTTGCGATGGAAAAAATACTTCAGGAGCTCCGTGGGATTGAAATACGATTGGATTCACACACTTTCTGACGAGTATGTCACATCCAGTTGGCTCAGCCATCTTGTGGCAGCTGATGCACATTCAATAACGTTGCTATGCCAACAGTCTCTAGAGGGCGCCCTTTACGCTTGAATTTGTTCTGCGATCAGGAAGAGCTGGAACTGTACATATACAATGTGAGGATGTATCCTGATGGAAGGTAGATATGGTTTGTTGTTTCTCCCTTCGTTCAATGTAAGACAGTACCAAAAATGCATCACTGGTTTCCATCCACGAGGCACCAATCAGTATGTGTGTACGCAGGGCATCAGGAGGTACAATGTTCTTGCCATGTCACGGTAATCCAGTTGAATACCTAGAAAAAATAAAAAGGTGCATTTCAGTAATTGGCAGGAATAATATATGGCATAGAACAATCTTGGCACCCCATTAAGGTACACTCACACAGACCCTAAGTATTGGGGAAAAGCATTGCTGTGTTACAGTTGAGTCCCTGACAAGTCCGTCACAAGTCCTCCCAATTCCATGACAAGTCCTACATTCTCATGTCAAGTCACTAAATATTCAAACAAACTATGATAAAAGCATTCCTTTGTTATTGTTCATTCTGTTACTTGTTCCTGGTCTTACATAAGAACTTGCGACCGGACTTGTGATGGACTTGACAACACTGTATGAAGCACAGCATCAAATCCATCAATGTTGGCAATGCCACTTTCTATTCTGCACAAATAGTGGAATGACACTCCTATACTATTACAAATGATAACACCTCACCCACAGATTCTGTATCTTGATTGGCCGAGAGTGAGTCACATGGCATTCGCTATTTTTGCTATCTTGCTGTGCACGGCCAAAAGAACTAAACCCGTAGCAACTAAGGTACTATACTCGTAGCAACCAAAGTACTATACGCATTGTGTGCAAATGCATACGGGTGTGTGCTTTGTGCTTTGCGCTTTGCACGTAGTGTTCCCAAGCGCTAGCGCTGCAGCGCTGGGTTCACACATTTTGTGAAGGGATAGTTTGGAAAAGTGCAAGTTAATTTTCAACTAATTTCGTATTCAAATAGATGTAAATTTTAATTGTATTCAGATTAAATTAATCAGTTATTGCTTAAAATCAAGCAGAATCTGTAGTAGAAGTGTTACATTACAAATATTGACTACCTTATCTCGTGGTGTAGTAAAACTAGCCTCCTTCGGTGATCCATGGAGCTTTCTATTTTCCCTCAACTTCGCTTCGGGAAAAATAGAATGCTTCATGGATCACCTCGGAGGCTAGTTTTACTACACCACTCGAAGCAGTCAATATTTGTATGCTATACAATCACCAAAGAATTGCTTTAATAAGTGTAAACTTGAAGATATTCTTTCAAACCTCTTTTACATGTAATTTTTAATCTCTCATTGGAGGACACAAAGATTCAACAAACCTGTTTGGATTCTGATTGGCCGGAATGGGTTCCAGTAGGACACGCCCACCCTTGGCGCTGCTATGCCGCGCTTTGTTCTTGTACGGATTGCCGAAAGACTTGGTCTTCAACATATTCTTGACCAAAATCTGGAAAAACAGATAAAAAGACAAGGAAGAATATAAACGCACTTCGCCACGGCAGCCTGACCACTCTTGTCAGGGAACGGCTGCAATTGAAGGAACAAAAAGTCAAATCAAGACTTGGATCAAGACAAGCACAGATGACACTGCAGGGTTTCTCCCAAGCTTCAGCCGTTCGTCATATGATCTATCCGATTAAAGTCATGTCATCACGTGTCAATCATATCACAAATCGTTTCATCACAAGTCAATCGCAAGTCATCCAGTATCAAGCTAAATGAATGACTGTAACGGAGTCATTCCTTTTTTTTTCATCCCGTTACTTGTGCCGTCTGAATGAATTTTAGTGAACTTGACCACAACCCGGCAAGCTGGGCCAAATTTCATGGCTCTGCTTACCACGGATTTGTGACCTTGTGGACAGCATTCTAAGCTTACAGCGCTAGCAAACACATTCTACACTAACCATGTAAGCACAAAATCATTAGGTGCATGATCTACGCATGCGTACAACCCCAAACTCCTTGCCAGACCGTGAAATACGCTAACCATTTTTCTGCAAAACTTAGCAGGGATCTTTTGCATACGGTAAGCAGGGCCATGAAATGTAGTAGCCTCCATGTCATATTCTGAATACATTCCAGTGAAAAAAAAAAGATCATCGATGCCTGATGTCACAGCTGATGACCCTCTGTACTTACCAGTGTCCTGAGTTTTGGCAGGGTGGTGACGCAGGTATCCACCTCGTCCTGCGAGACCTCCACCAGGGTGCAGTTCTCCTCCTCTGTGGGCAGGGGTTCCTCACCGTGTCTGGTCACCCAGGTATGCAACTGGAACGAGGGTGGGGAAGAGAGGTTAACTAACCCGGGTCAAACATTACAAAGTCTAAATAATGAAAGGTTTGCGGAAACACCATGTGCGAATAATTTCTCAACTAAGAGAATGGTTCTGAATAGAACCAGAGGTATAAACTCGACGTTCCGGTCAGTATGCTCTGACCGTCTTCAGTCAGTATGCTCTGACCGTCTTCACTCTCCTGAAGACGTTCAGAGCATACTGACCGGAACGTCGAGTTTATACCTCTGGTTCTTTTCAGAACCATTCTCTTAGATGAGAAATTATTCGCACATGGTGTTTCCGCAAACCTTTCATTATTTAGTATCTCCACCATGCAAAGCCTCAAATCTTAATTACAAAGTCTGACTTTTTTCCATGTCATACACTGAAAACTGCAAAACTTCTCCCCGAACCTGTGAAAGGTCCATGCTTCCCATCACAAGTTGTTGAAAATCCATAAGTTTGTCACAAACATGCCAAAAAACAATGACAATTTGATGTTGCATGACTTTTCCACAACACCGTGAACATTCTGTGATTTTTTTTCCTTGTCAAACAGGAAAAATTCCACAACTTTGCCATGAAAACACCTAATGTCTTTAAACTTTCATGCTTTAAATCTGAAAACACGTTTTCAAGCCTGAACTAGCCCATACCACATAGAATTCCAAGAACTACCTATTGGACCATCCTTGTCCCCTCCCCCCCCCCCCCTCCCACCCCAAGAAAACACTAAGAATATAATAAAATTTCACTGTAAACCCCAAGGTAGATGCAGCCAATTTATTTCTGCACATGCCTCAGAAGCACATGCTCTTTAGACAAGAGACAGCGAAATGTCATCTGGAGAATTTAAATGAGGATTTTCAATGACAATATCATCATTAATTGGTTTGCAGCAAGGCCTCACTGCATATTCCATTACATGCCTCATTTGGTAATTACAATGCCCTTCAAAAGAGAGGAACCCCATTTAATTTTAATGGCTTTTCATAGTAATTTGAATCTAGAGTTGACGTCAACTATTCCGTCAGTAGTTGCAATAACTGACATCATTTTCTTTTAGGAACCTACATGTACCGGTATCTGCCAAAATTCACCAATAAGCAATGGACCAACAGACATGTTTGTTTTACTTCAAACAATAACAACACATACAGACATAAGACCAAATGTATATACAGTTGAATCTCATTAGTACAAACTCTGTTAATACAAAATTCTGGTTATAACAAATATAAAGCGTTAGTCCCGACTGTGCATTTATGTGCACAATGAATGGGACTGATGTTCCTCTTAATACAAAATTCTGATATAACAAACAATTTGGCTAGGTCCAAACGAGTTTGTATTAACGAGACTCGACTGTATGTAGCTGAGCTCAAATCAAATCCAAGAAAGAACATCCAGCCCCTCCCTCCTTCTTCTCTCTTCTTCTTTCGTATGATTTGCTGACCACTATACAATTTTGTGCAGCTGATGTAGCCATGTGACAGTCTCCGGGGTTGGGTTGGTAAGATCTATGTGATGCTTAAGCTGATGCTTAAGCAGTATTTTTAAAAGCAGTAATTTTAAAGCAGTCCGGCTGACACCACAGGATTTGAATTGCTCACCTTTATTTCAGGTATTTTGATTCTCTTGTCTGGGTCCTTCTCCAACATTTTCAATATGAGATCCTTTACGTCATCTGGAATTGGTTTGCTGTGAAACGGGAGCAGAGAGACATGAAATTATCCAATGTAAATCAAACAGCCTTGATTATCACATCACAGGCAGCCAAATAATAAAACCAATAGGGCTCGTTCAATGACGGCCATTTCTGTAGGAGAAGTGCAACTGCGTATTTTCCGCAATCTAGCACGCATTGCGCAGTGTTGAAAATGTTCCAAACACGCACGCTTGTTGCTCGAAATGTGTTCAAAATATGACGCAGCTGATACACGTTATGCAAGTTGATGCTCAAAATGCCGATGCACGTGGATGGTCTGTAGGAAATGACATCATTCGAACGAGACCCATTACTTCAGTGTCAGACCCAGAACAGTTAACTAGCAGACTCGACCCACATCCCAACAACATACATTCACGGTATGTACTGGTAGTAACTTCAGAAAAAAAATTCTGACTTTTTTAAAATTAAATTGCACGAAATTTGTAGTACCCATATGGGTCATTGAGTATAAATTTGCCGTCCACTTTTTCCCAGTCCCTGTTACATATGACATCTGTGATTTGATAATTCTAATGCACTTCGTAATGCAGTCGTCCTCCAAGAGTGATTAGGCCAAAAAAATAACAGTTCTGCTTCCGATTACATGGCATTTGAAAATAGAGTAGGTAGGTAGGGAATTATAATTTTTTTTTTTGCAATTTTTTTGTGTGTACGATCATATGGAGGCGTCTGCGTGTAGTCAAGGGTACAAGGTAGAAATTGATGGTTTCGGGTGTTTTTTTCTCATTTTTCCAATAAAAAATTAGGGTAGGGGCTGTCAGAATAGGGTAGGTAGGGAAACCGGAAGCAGAAATATATTTTTTTTAGGCCTTATGAACAGCAAAGTACCTACCCAACCATGAAAAAAAAAATTTGAAGTCATTTTGAACGATACTTGAATGGCAAATTACAAAGTACATGTACCAAGGTAACAGGGACAGGAAAAATGTCACACATCGGACCCTAAATTTATACAATGACCCACATGCAAATGAAATACTCTACAGCTGCATATATTGTTCTGTGGACATGGTGCACTGCATCAACATTTCTTGAAAACCACATGTGCCAGGTGGTCAGTGAACAGGTCCAAAAGTACAAGTTGTTTTTTTGGGGGGCACACTGTCACTTCAACCGACCTTGCAGTATTGAATCATCTGATCCTGATCCTGATGCAGTCTGCCAATATTTGCCCTCCATTTCTCCATCCCCCCCCCCTCCAACCCCACCTCTCCGAGGAGAAGTACCCTCGATCCTTGCCCAGGTACGGTGCATAATAAAGGCCATGAGCAAACACAGAGAGGCGGCTAATTCCGACTGACATTTCGGCGAGTATTTACACATGGGAGGACAAAAATGTCAACACGTGGTCAGGGGATCTATTGCGTCTGTGGATGAGCAAGCTAGGTGTGTCCCCATGTGTAACACAAGTCACCTAAGAGTGCATTGCCCACACGTATGCACTCCCGAGCATAGAGCAACTGACATTTAGCGATACCAGAGAGGGGAATTGGAAAAGAAATGACACTTAGAGCTTGAAATAGGGTTGACGGGCCGACATCATTACAAACTATTCAATCATATCAAACTAGGTTTTGCCCTTCACCGACGTTTAAACACTGTATACTCAGTGTGTTACCTCCCAAGTGAAAGTTGGAAAAAATCACTCAGGTGGGACTCAAACCCACGACCTCCTGCTTTCTAGTGCAGGGCAAAACGTAGTTTGATTTATATCACCCCGACGCAAAATTCCATCTTATTCAATCATATGATGATCAAATTATTTACCCCAATGGCGTTTAACAAATTTGCAATATGAGAGACACTGAAAAATGACAGGTTACAGCTAGAATTTGACTAAGGTTACAGGGTTAATCAGTGCAAACCATTCAATAATACTTTTCAAATTATTACAGAGTTTTCCAAAGTTTGCAGGTTCAATTCCCAATCTACTCAATTTTGTTCAACTTTGTTTTGACTACGTGCAAAATAATTACCTGGCTTAAAAAACATATGAATAAGAATTTTAATAAGTCTTATGAGTCTTCCGCCTGACTTTTTCCTGCGCTTAGTTGCATATGTGATATCTCTATGGTGATAGTATGTGCTGTAATAATTGAATTCCCGTTACTCTCAAAACAAAAACTCAATCCTGTGAAACCAAAACTGAAAGCCACGTCTGTTTGCATGATACTTCAAAGGTAAGTGCTTGGCATAAATCTGTATGGCACTGGCTTACTCAACCACAAAGCTGTACAAACTACAATCAATCACAAAAGCCATGAAGCACAACAAAACCAGACAGAAAATCTCCTCTTCAACTTTCCTAGGCTCATTTCATGGAGCGGCTTCACAGACAGCATGGCTGTGTACGAATGACTTGGCTACGGTAGGAAATCACACACGCACCTATGAACACAGTTGCAGCCACTTCCTATAGACCTTTATCATGCTGCCACCATTTCAGTCATGTTCCCTGTATCCAATAACAGTACTGAATGATAACGTTTTTGTGCAAAAGGGAACCAGACTAGTTTTTCTTCCAGCCTCGCTTTGGTTACATTGATTTGAATGGGGCAACATCAAGATGGCCGCAACATGATAATGGTCTATTGACCCATGTGTTATCTCCAGTCGTAGCCATGTCATTCAGACACGGCCTATCTTAAGTAAACTGAGTACCAGTCAAGAGCAATACACATCACATGATTTTTGGGCTGGTAACCTTTTTTATTTGCTAAGCAAATATTTTCCATTCTTAGCAGATCTCTGTGGTTAACAGCTCTACCAAAAACACAAAACGGCTAAGTCAGACTTACTCTTCAGGGAAAGGCAATGGTAAATTCCTGATCTTGCTGTGGAGACCGAGAATAAAGCTGTCTTGGAATGGAACCTTTAGCAAAAAGAAAAAAAGGAAAGAAAATAACATTATAAAGCACTATCACAGTATCAGTTTAGTCAGGGCCCACTTTCATGGCACTGCTTAACAGTTAGCAGAAAAGTTGTGCTTACTATAGCAGAAATTGTGCTGACCATAAGCACTATTTCATGGTGTGGTTGTGCTAACAGTTGCACGCGCATGGAGATTTCTATTGTTACGTCACTGATTTAAGCAACTTTTCCTCGGGGGTTAAGCATGCTTTTGCTGTGCCTACTGCTTACGGTCTCCATGAAATAGACAGGGGCTCTGTTAGCAGAAATTTGTGCGCTTAGCAGCACTATGAAAATTGACCCAGATCTGTCTCAATATCATTCTGGTTTCAACACATGAAGAGTTTATTTCCAAAACGAGATATATCCATTTGAAAGAGTGAAAAATGTGCACGTTTATGAAACTTTAAAGAATAAAAACGTTATGGCGTACTGAAGTGTGGCGTCATTTAGAACCAGAAAGTTTAGTGCAAACTAATGGAGTATGCGCCCGTGTTGGTTCACGGGCTGAATCACGCGCTAATGTCTTTCACACACATTTCGTGCGCGGGACATATTCACCTCGGTACTCCCTAACAGCTATTTTATAAATTTCCTTTTGTTCACTTCATTGTATTCTCCAATTGTGTTTGTCTGTATAACAGCCATCATAACTGACTTGGGGCAGCCAGGAGAGAGCGGGATTATAAAAGGTAACGAAATGGCATTTATCACATTTTGGAAATATACACTTGGGCTGAATTCCCTGCCTCCAGAATCTTCTAGAAAAACACATTTAAACCACAGCAAGCTCACACTGAGGCCTCAGGCCAACGACTATTTTTGTTTTAAATTCAATTATTTTTGCAGAAGGAAAAAAAACAAGGTCGTGCCAGAATAAGGCCATGGAAATTATCTGCTGAATCTCCCTCCCTTTAATGAGCCCAACTTGTTGTGCTGGCCAGGCCGGTGAGACATTAGTTTTCCCGGCACGTTCCTCCTCGCTAAGTCAAGCATTTCATTAAGCCCCTTTTACTCCATTGCAAACAAGTCTCCTGAATAACTGTTTTAGGGTATGGCATACTGATGATGCCACGCTAATCAGGTTTATTAAAGACGAGCCAAGGACACAAACAAACAGCCTGATTGGGTTGTGTAGGAGTGTGTAAGATCTGTCACATCTGTTTGTAATCATATCCGTTTGTGTACGTGTACGTGAACATATTTGAGTAAGGGCTGATTTTTATTTGAAACTGACAACAACAAAAATAAGATGAACAGGAATGATGTTTGACCCTCAGGAAAAAAAAATAGGAAAGAGTGTTCTGTAGACCCACCAAAGGTGCAATGCCTACTGTGCAGAATGCTGAAAAATGGAAGAAGGTTGGCGTAGCGGGTTGGGAGAGTCAGGTTGGCGTAGCGGTACTTTCCTCGCCTTCCACCGCTGTGACCCGGGTTCGAATCCCGCCCGGGCCAATATGTGGATTGGGTTTTCAGTCCCTACCTGATTCTGTGGGTTTTCCTCAGAATATTCTTCTGGGGTTTTCCTCCCATCTCTAAAACTGTAATTTCTTCTCATTGTCTTTTGCTTCAGTGCTTAGGGTACTATTGAAGAATCCTTGGTTTCATTACCAGAAAGAATTAAAATAAATAAATAAAATAAGAAATAATAGGAAAGGTATGGAAAGGAGAAAAAAATTGGGAAATCCTATTAAAATAGGAAAAGTGGCATGCCTAGCCAATGCATTGTTAAGACAATATCAACCTTTTAAGTTACAAAATGCCCAATGTATCTGACACACTGAGATTGGATTTGAGACATCTGTGATAATGAACAGAAATGAGTCTGGTCCATAGTCAGCCACATAAGGTACCATGTCCCCTTCATTCTGTCCTGACTCATTATGACAACTTTGTAGGCAAAATGAACCTGAATGTCCTCCCTTCAAAAGTGAATTTGTCACTTGAATCACTTTCTTTCATTTGGTCACATTTGTCTTCATGCATATATTTTTTTTATCATGTATCATAGGTTATTATGCAATTTCCTTTGCCAATTTAAAAAGCTCCACATGCACGTGTCTGACACGTGGTTTTGTGATATTTTGACAAATTTGGGATAACAATGTAGACAATCCAGCTCCTATCATTTACACATAGTGCATGAGATTACATTTCAAACTGTTGTTGACTTCCAACAAAATAGACCACTAGTTCATTACAAATGTTTAGATTTGGTGCATTTATGAAAATGTTGAGGATTGCTGCAGGAGAAAAGGGTTGATAAGGGGGTTTTCATTTTTGACAGGGTTCCCTTGTGGATGCACCAATTAAAAAACATGAAGGACTACACCTACGTACCTGACCGAATATGAAGCAATACAGTGTGATTCCGATGGCCCAGACATCTAAGGCTCGGCCGCCATATTTGTTGGAGTCTTCATGTAGGGTCTCTGGAGCCATGAAGGCTGGTGTGCCCACCGTGTCAGATAGGAGGGCGTCGATCCCTTCAAAACGGTCACTGACACCAAAATCGGCAATCTGGAAAGGAATATCCAATATTACTATTTAACATTTAGTTTTCTTTAATATCCAATACATTGTTTTCCCTTCTTTTTCATTGTTATCTTCATCTGTTTGTTTTTTGTTTTTGTTTGCATCAACTGTTCTTTTTTTAGTTTTTGGCTTTACTATGTTAGATTCATATGTCTTCTGTTTGTTTGTGTGTCTATTTTTGTTTTTGTTGTTGTTGTTGTTGTTCTTGTTGCTCTTGTTGTTGTTGTTGTTGTTGTTTGTTCTTGTACAAGCTGCCCCCCTGAAATGTTGGCAGAAAGTAGTTTTTGGCTTTACTATGTTGGAATCATATGTCTTTTGTTTGTTTGTGTGTCTGTTTTTGTTGTTGTTGTTGTTTGTTCTTGTACAGGCTGCCCCCCCCCCCCCCCCGAAATTTTGTTCTGGATCCAACCATGATTGCTGTTGAATGCAATAACAAAATATAAGAACCAAAAAGAGGGAAAAAGCACTGCTCTCTACAAAGCAGTCTGCTGTGCTTGAGGTCTAAATGGTTTGGTCAGAGTTAAGTCTGTTTGCTTCAGGAAATGCAGAAAGTGAGAGGGGAATAAAGATGTTATCATGTGTACCTTCAGATGGTTGTCCTCTCCGAGTAGTAGATTGGATGGCTTGATATCCCGATGGACTATCTTCTGATAATGCACTGTGTCATGGAAATAAATCAACATTAGTTTAATTTTTATTTGATGTTCAATTTGTTTTTCAGATTAGGTTTGAAGTCAAGGCTTACTGCCAATCAATTGTAAAAAAAAGTTTTTTTCTTTTTCAATCCTCGTCACAAACAGGAGCAGGAAGCCTGCTCATTTTAAAGTTGTCCACTGTACAAAATCTTCAACATGAAATGTGCATATTGAGCAAAGGCTATCAATAGAACTTCATAAAATTTCTTTGCATTTTCATAAAAACATGATTTAGTAATCTGAATATTGAAGACTAATAAACAATCATCACTAAAAACAAATTTCTGGGAGTATGGTGTGTTTTGACCAAAATGCAAAAAAAAAATATAGTCTGGTACTTGCAATTTACATGTACATCAAAAGAGTCTTTATCATTTGATAATGCCTTTATCATTTGATAACTCACTCAGGAAACCAGACATTAAAATGATGCTTCAATTGTTTCAAATTTATCAGCTGATTTTGTCTCCTTTTCCCATAAGGTATAAAATTTCACGCCCTTTCCATCTCATATATTTTCCACTTATCTCCCCCAGTCTTTCAACACTTGGAGGGGGGCGGGAGTACGTTGAGCAAATATTTTGCTGGAAAACCCTACCCTCAAAAAAAAAAAAAAATTAGTCACAATATTGACTTTGCTGCTGCTGGAAAACATAGATAAAGAATTTCAGGATATAAAATCAACACGGACTATGTACCTGTGGCACCTGATTATTGTATTTGTGGACAAAAAAAGGTCGATATTTACTGACATATATTTCATATCAATACTCCGGCCTATTATTCCTTATCTGGGATTATGGACTGAATTCATAGCAGCGAGCAAGTAGTGCCACGGATTTTCCTTTCAGACAATTTGCGATGAGTGGTAAATGTTTATTTTTGAAAGAGGTGCAGTGATATTGTATCTACATACACAGGACTGATATTCATCTTATTACGAATACAAGGCCGAATGCACTACTCTCTTGAAAATACTGAATTCCTTCAGAAAAAAAATCTCTCGTATTTAACAAAAATTATGTGAACTTTTTGTGCGAGGGAAGGAAATTCAGAAGTTCTTTCATTAGTTACATGTTGCATTAGGCTTTGCCGAAACATGTGGCTACCGCCTGCAATTACACATGCGGCTATGGACACGGCTGAATCCACTTCCCACAGACCCCTGCATTATTGCCAGCCGCAGCCATAAATCATTTTTACATAGCCGCAGTTACACTAACAGTAACTCCTTTATGACTTATTCATAAATGACAAGGAGAACTGTTTTTCTAGACCCGTACAACCCTGACCACGTTTCTGGAAATGTCACATTTTTTTTTTTTTGGGTGGAAAACCCAAATGATATCTGGCTACAAAGACACTATGAAGCAGTGACGATACCCTAGGGACAGATTTGCGAGTCTGCCTCTGCCATCCCGTGATGCATGACGACCGGATGCTGCTTTCATAATGCAGTGTCTGGCGACCATTGCTCAACCCGGTTCGCATTGAAAAACGGCACTTGACGACCGCTTTGTGCTCAAGCGAGACTGCGCAATACCGAATCTGAGTCCCTGTGCAAACTGTCGCTACATTTTCTTTCAGAGTCAAAGCACACTCCAAGCAGGCAGCCATGACTTTAAAGTGCCACAAGAAAATGGAGGGCCACATTTTGCACGAAGATGATTGGCCAACTCGACTTGCACAAAAACATTTGGCCAACTTGACCTGCACAAATCAATGTTTAGCTGTCACAAGCCAAGTTTCAAAATCATCTGTAGTTTAAAATGCATTCACAGGACAAAATTGGAGTAGGATAATATATTTTTGGTTTTTTAACAAATGTGAACCTTTCTGGCAGAATGAGACAGAACTGGGCAGAGGCCCAAACAAGCGTTTGCAGGTGTTAGGAAAGAGAATAAAATTCTCTTTACAATACTGTTTGTTGTAGTTCAATCAGACATTCCATAGACAAGTCATGACTGTTTAAAGTTTGCACTTTTATGATCAAAAACTTAAATACTGAGAAAAAGGCCTTTAAAGTTTGGAGTTTTGTAGTCGTTCAAAATGAAAGACGCCAATTGGTTTTCCTTAAAAACTCCTTCATTGGACGATTTTTATACAATCTCTTTTAAAAAATGTGTAGTAGACACTTCAAAGGTTTTATAATACATGTATCAATAAATCTGAAAATCGAACAAAAATCACCCCCATTCATTTTTTCGCCTGTGCCCAGTTCCGTCTTATTTTGCCAGAATGCCCCACAAATGGACTGTAATTTTATCCACTTTATATTCTTTGGTACCTGCTGGAAGTGTCTTGCAATGGACCTCATGCATTGTGGGTACCTGAGAGGGTGTTCTTTGATCATTTCAATTTAGTAACAGCGAATTCACTAAAAGGCTTACGCATGCCTATCCAAGCAATGCAAAACCACTGCCCTCTAGCTCCGCCTTAACGCATAAAGTCTATTTCCAGGCACATGAGAAGATGGTCACAACACACAAAAGTAACTGTTTGATAGCCTGGGCGTTCGAGTATGTCAGATGGCTACTCACAGTATTCAATGCCAAGAATGATGTCCCGAAAGTAGGTCCAGGCTAGTTCTTCGCTGAAGGGGTTGTTAGTAGGCACTTCCATTACGGCTCTGCAGAGATTAACAAAGAAACCTGTTATCTCCGGTGGATCTGAAACACATTTTCCTTAATGTTGGTCACAGCGGAACATCGGGGAGATCTAAATCTGGCTGTTTTGATCTCAATTCAAAAATCTTTACAGTATTAAGGGACCTGAGGGTAAACCTCAGTCGAACAGATTTTGTCAGCTCTTTCTCTTATCAGATGTTGAATCAGTAAAATATCATTGCATTTTTTTCAAAACATGTTTTTCCACCTGGAAATCAATTCACAGGTGTGCATCAGTGTTTGTGGATTGTTTTTCTTTGGAGCATGGGAAGAAACATTTTAAAACAACAAAATACACATTTTGAAAATGTAACTTAAGGCAAACTTTTGAAGATTACAGATCAGCCAAAAAGACACCAATTTCCTGGAGCTACGGAGCAGAAAATGGTGATCAAATAAATCATGCGCAAATTGACAATTGAACAAAAATGGAAAAAAAAATGATTAGTCAACTCCCCACAAGAACTTTAATTCCAAACCTGTTTCAAAAAGGGAAAAATAAAGGCATTGTCCAAAAACTACTTACCCCTTCTCAACAAGTTCAAAGACCATGTACAGGTTGTCTTCAATAGGGTCGTTCAATACCTAGAGAAAGGATAATAAAAAAAGCCCACAATATGTGACATTTTAATATTTGCTAAAATTATATACATGTGCAATGTACGTGTATGTACAATGTTTTTCAAATCACAACTGCAACAACTCGTGTTTATGAGACTGCTGTAAAACAGCAGAGAATAATCTTTCACAAGTAAAGAAACACAGAAGTATTCATTTAAGACTATTATGCCGTTGATCCTAGAACTGCTAAACAGGAGGTTTCACATCCTCCAATGAAATTATAAAACCAAAATATTTAGATGTTTTAATACACAAACCAACTTGAGCCTGAAAATTGATGTATAAAGAAAAAGTACATGTACATACATGTACATACATGTACATGTGCCAATTATTATATGTATGTTAATTTACAATTTGAAAAAAAGTGCCTGAAATGATGAAATCAGGCAATAGACCATTATTATGTTGCGGCCATCTTGATTTTTCCCATTCAAATCAATGTAACCAAAGCGAGGCTGGAAGGAAAAATAGTCTGGTTCCTTTTTGCACAAAAAACATTATCATTCAGCACTGTTAGTGGATACAGGGAACATGACTAAAATGGTGGCAGCATGAAAAAGGTGTATTGCTGGAAGACTTATATGAATACATGTACATGCTCTCTGCGAAATATTTTCAAAGAATTTTTTTTTTTTAAAAGAGCCAAAGACCTTTTTTTTGACACTAAGCCCGCTATCTCTGGCTGAAAGGAATAATTTCATTCCCCGTGTTCTACCATGCATTACTTACAGAATCCCAAGGTAAATACAAATTTGCCCGAGGGTGCAGAAGTCGGGATATTCTTTGGGGAGATGCCCGCAATCTGATCAACCAGCAACACCACAGGTTATGATTAACGCGGAGTGCCATCAATAATTAAAGTCAGATTGATGTGAGACAGGACAAACTACAATGTAGAAGGGCGATTTCTGGACGAAATTTGGGGGTTTGAGCCAAAGTAATTAATTCTTAAAGTCATGATCTTAAAAGAGAGTTCAATTTTTTGGGAGTGTCCCTCAGAAATTAGGCATTAAAAAAAAAGGATTGCTCGGGGAAATATTAAAAAGGACCAATTTTGGGAGAAGAGGAAACTTGCTGGAAAAGGACATATTTTTGGGGGTGGAGAAAATTGTATTTCCAATGTACTTCTAAAATAAATTTGTTTGTTCCTAAGTTGCGTTCTGTTCAGTTTGTTCCTAATATGTTTGCAGTCTCTGGTCAAGTTATAGCTCATCATTAATTCCTTTTGTTTTACACACACATGGCTATTTCCCAATTTATTCCCGTGTATTTTTTTCACCGGTTTTGAAGGTTTCTGTTTACCAGTGACCTTCTTACAGCACTTAGCATGTTTCCTTTCTGAAAGACGTTAGGAAATCGTATGATTCATTATTGTTCCATCTGGAATCATCATTAAAACCAAAAACCCCCCAAAAATATGTGATCACTTCCTTATAACAACAGAAAGCTGTCATAACGTAATGACGCATCCAATTCCACTACTCGCTTTAAATATCACATTTCTTTATACATGCCTACTACGTACATTGCACAGTAGATGTAAACAAATTTCCTAACAATTGTGAGTATGCTATGAATGCTTCTAACAGCACATGTACACAAATCCACCTGATAAACCAAACAATGAAAATGAAAATGGACACAGAAACAAGACGGCATTTCACAACTGAACGACACTTTACGACACAAGCACACGGCATTATAATAACAGCATTCACACGGTGCGATACAGTTTTCGAAGGCCGGTCTGTGGTCGGGCAATTTGTCATGTTGTTAGTCTGGCCTACAGTGGCTTAATTATTTAATGGATCTACTCATGTTGGGTGCTTGACGGCGATTGCGAGGCGCTTAATTGAAAAGGAAGGGTTGCTATAGGCAAACAGGTCTGACCGAATGGATGAAAAACTTTTAAGTCCATATTAACATGAACCAGGGAATATTCAAAGATTTTTTTTCCTTCTCACAATGGATTTGAAATTATTTTTCTTTAAGTACCAGTACTTATCTTAAAAATGGATAAATTATGAACATCATTTATCTTTCTTTTACTGCACTGGTTGCCCTTTTACGTCTATTGATTTTTTTTTCACAAACAAGCATCGATTTAATTGACAAGTGGTTTGTTTTTTATACTGAAGAGCATTCTTGGAATTTCTCATTTGGGAAATGATAGAATTGATTGGCACTCAAGCCAATAATGTGATACTCATGTTAATGGCACAGGACAAAGTGTTACGCATTGAGTGAAAACGACTTCTTGATTTGATGTGATGGATGAAAGGGGACTTTTTCATCAATGATTAAAAAACATTGACTTTTCATAAAAGAACCTGACTCTTGATTTTGCAGGCAGTAAGAATTTTTTAAGAATGAAAAACATATTTAAATAGAAAATCTTTTTACAGACACACATATATTGATAAACAAAAGAAAATTGAAATTGGCCAAGCTAAAGAAACACACAGATACATGTACAAATAACGAACAAAAGTGTATAAGATAAAAGCAAAACCTCACACCAAAACAGCTACAATACAAACTCGAAAAACCTGAAAAACATTGACATTTAACCTGAGTTTTTAGTAAAAACTACACAGACCTCTCCAAAAAAAAGAAGAAACATCATCTCAACGAAAAAATTCCCTGATTAACAGTTCACCTTTCAGAACTCGCCAGGCAGAAATTTGGCCGTCGCACACTAAGTGCTCCTGCGATATCATTTATCATCGGGGCGCTCACAAGGCGAGACTGGATACACTGCATAGCGAGCGCGCGAGTTACTATCGCGCAAACATGACAGCATCTACATCTAAATCGTGACCACAATGGAATTTACAAATGGCTTATGTCCGTAGGTAAAGTGGGCCAAATATAGACGGGAAAAGTACTGTTACAGCCACGCTTCCGGTGTTAAAATTGCCCCTCGACATGTCCATTTTTAACCACAGAATGATCGACCGGGATACTTTATTTTCACATAAGGTTATGATGCTATGTTTTTATTTCAATGAACAGGGTGGGGTTTTTTTTGGGGGGGGGGGGGAGAGGAGTTTTGGGGGATTTTCATTATAGGGGGGCGGGGCAGGGGGTCTTTTTTTTCTGTTTAAGAACTGCATGTTTTATCTAATGAGCAAGGCTTAAATGAATCATTTTTCCACTCTGGAGGAAAATGGATTGAATTAATAATGCATTTTGACTCTTGAAATGGATTTAATGATTGCCTATTCCTTTGAAGCGAACCTTTTTAGTGTGTGTGTTGAAGAGACACAAAACATTAGAAATCAGACAAAATTTGTCAATTTCTAAACATTTTCAGAGGTTGTTGCTATGGCAATTTTGTGTAACACAGAGTTTCTTATCAGATATGCTTCATAACACTACGCAACATAAAACGGTGCTAAAAAAAAATGGGGGGGGGGTAATGGGGGGGGGGGAGAGAAGGTAACAAAAATCTTAGTGAACTACATGTATGACAACAGAAATAAGATTTATTTTAATAAATGCTACTTTGGCACATAAATCATCCTAAGTTATTCTATTAAAACCTGACAAAAAAATGCAAATTGATAATTTCACTGTTATTCTATTGAAACCTGACAAAAAAAATGCAAATTGATAATTTCACTGAATCAATCTCTTCTAAATGACATATGTACTCATCACCGTGCTTACTTTTGCACAGAGCAAGATGAGAAATGGCGTGCCTGAAATTTCTCAACGCTCACTTTGTCTCGCGTTAAGGATCCACCAATCAACACCCCTGATTGATGATGAACTGCGACCATATTATTTTCTTAATCTTTGACGCAAGTTATTCACCGGTATCAATCAGTTCTGGGCCCTATGTATACACAGGCTTTTAATTTCTGTGGTTCTTGCCATTTTTTTGTTGTTGTTTTTTTAAATGGCATGCTAAGCAGCCACTGTTTGTTTGAAAATTGATACAAGGGGAGCTGCTAGACAAATAAACCTGAGGCTGATTTCGCGGATCTGCTGAGCGCGGAAAATAGTTGTTGAGCTGAAAACAGGTTACGAGCCAAAATGTCAGGGGCAATTCCATCGTTACGGACGTTACATTCAGAGTCTAAAACCAATTTGAAACAACGAAGTAAAAAAAAATGCAGTGAGAGCAAATTTTACATATTTGGTAAAAGGGGGAGCTGCTAGACAAATAAAACTGAGGCTGATTTCGCGGATCTGCTAAGAGCGGAAATCGTTTGCTGAATAACAAACAGGTATGAGCCAAAATGTCATGTGCAGTTCCATCGTTACTGACGTTACATTCAGAGTCTAAAACCAATTTGAAACAACGAAGTAAAAAAAATGCAGTGAAAGAAAATTTTACATATTTGGTACAAGTGTAGCTTAGGCCTTAATGTTCAACATGACATAGTTAATTAATGTAGTGTTAGCTGAAATAATAAATGAGACATTTATAAGCACTGTAAATGACCATTACGGACGCTATGTTTTACGACATAGGCTTCTTATTTTCAGTATGCATTGATAAAAGTCTGTGAAGTTTCTCGCAAGAATTGAATGAAACAAAAACATGATGTTGTGGTAGATATGCGTTGGCTCTATAAAAACACCAATGACATTTTACAAAAAGGTACTTTGATCAAATGAAAACATCATGCTTTTGTTGTTACTGAGGTTACATTAAAACATTTAATACTGATGTTACGTGTCTGAAATCAACTTCACACAAATGATAAAACATACCGAATCATGGTATTCTAAGTTCTGTGTGTAATTTTTTTTTTGTAAAATATTAACCTTTCTCTCTGCCTTTAAAACAAAAACTCACAGTAACACAAGCACTTTGCATGTGAAAACAAGATGCCAAAATGTCTACCTGAAATCTATAACTTCAGCCCCAAAACCATTTTCTCACTGGCAGGCCACTCAAATGAAAGGTCTTGTTGTCCCCTTTTATTGGATACCACATTTGAGGTTGAGACGCTGGTATTAATTTTTCACTTTTTAGCCATGTGCACTATTGGTTGTGTGGACGTTTATCCTGCTTTTAAATGCTCTTTCCAATTAACATCATTTCAATTAAAATGTGTTTTGTAGCCCAAATGAGCATATTCCAAGACGTAGTGTCCAGTGAATTTGCTAAGCATTATTGTCTGCTTTGTAGCACCACAAATTTGCATCCTTCGTTAACTGTTTACTATTTTTAGTGTTTTTTGTCATTGTAATTTTAAGTGAATTGTTCTGTATAATTGCTGGGCACCTCTGGAAAACAGTGTACCACTGAGAGGTTTCCCCAGGGTAAATAACAAATAAATAATAATAATAATTTATAGTATAATTCAACTTAGCAACTCAACTTAGGGTAGTAAGCAAGGAAGACTCCCTCAACTTTGCACCGGTTTCAGTCAATTGTCCGCACCAGTTTAATTTCCCATTGATATCAGCTATGCAGCACCACAAATTTGCGCCCTTCTTTATGTTATAGTATAAGTTGACTTAGCAAGTCGTCTAGCAATTCTGCTGAACGTCAACACAAATTCCCTCGATCAAAAAGTACACTGCCTTCTGAGTAAAACGGCAGGTCTGCACTTCCAAATAAGTTTATCAAAACACGTGTCCCCGGTGTGAGGGAGTATTCCAAATGAAGTGTTTTGATTAATACAAATCTGTTTGGATAGTTCAGGCAGCGGAGGGGCTTGTTTTTAATTGCAGCCAAGTCACGCTATAGAATTACACCAGGGTGGCTCGGCGATTCAAATGACCAAGGGCGCTTTGACTTTTAAGGGAATTTTTGTTTAAGGGGGGATAAAAAAAAGAAAGAAGCTTTTAGACAAGGGGGAGGGATAATAATAACTGATGACATTTGGAATGGCGCACATCAGAACCTGTAACTGAATGGCCTCAATCATGTTTCAATGGAGAGTGGTTTCGCACGCAAGAGGATACATTTTATAGTGCACCAGGTTATCCTTGGTAAGGTCTCATGACATCATACGTGCACGTATCTCGCAGTTCCAACAGATCGCTCCTTACGGGTCAGTGTGCAATGTGCATTTCATTGTCAATCTTGTTTTACAGCTGCTCTTTTATTAAACAGTGCATTATTGGATTACAAACAGGTGAACAAATTGCTGGATATGATGTGAGCTGTGAGTTTATTCAAATTCATCTGGGAAAAAATGTTTTGAAGTATTTTCACAAGTTTGTACAAATCGCCAAAAAGGAGCCTCACTTTGCCACACTCTCATGCATAAGCTCCAAATTGCCCTTAACCCCAACTCCCTAGGGTGATTTACTAGGAACCTTCCTCATCCTTGCAAATCCCAACATTATGGTAAACTGTGCACATAAACAGTTGGACCATGTCTATTTGTGGTATGCCTAATCACACCTAAAGCACAGTCAGTTTACTAGTGCAGTACTCATCCTAACAGATTCCAACAAACCCTGGTGTTGGAGTTTGGCTGGTTGGGGATCGTTAGGGTTAATTAATAGTATCAAAACCCCTGCTTCATCTCTAGGTTAAGATAAGTGTCTGGCTTTCCGAATCATTTTAAAGCTTTTTCACTATCGAAACCAAGTGGAAATACTGTTAAGGTGCAACAATGTATATGACCTCATATTATAGGATTTGATATTCCTCAAGTCGAGTATGGCCACATAATGAGCCAGTCAATGGAAAGGAGTTCCCAAAACCTCAGGGTTCTACCCGGGTCCAACAAAGAGATTTTGAATCATGTGAAAGGGCAATAAATGATCAAAATTACTCTTTATTTTAAAAAGACAAAAAAGAAAAAGTGCCCATGAAGATATGAGTTCCGTGCAAAAGTACCCTGCACAAGTACCCCCTCAATGGTAAGGAAGGGAGAGAATTGGGGGGGAGGCCCCTTTGAGTGACATTTGAACGCATTGCCTACGACAACTGACATTCACGCGAAGACGCTATAGCTATACACGCACGAACAGACATGCATACGCAGCCCATCATCAACATGTAACGAAAACCTACTGGGAGTTACCTACCTCCACAAGCTTGACAATGTTGGGATGGTCTAATTTCTTCAGGATGGCAATCTCTTGGTAGACTCTGTCCAGCGGGGTCTTGGGGCCACCGCCCGGCTTGCCTCCCCTGGGTGGGGGTCGCTCTGTAAGGGTAGGGGTGGGGGGGAAACAAAGGTAAAAGTCTGGCATAGTTTATCTTCGGCTGGAAATCTTTCTAGTAGTTGGAGGAAAACTTACATCAGTTGGTAAAACAAGACGCTAAGAACCGTTTGGACAAAAATAAAGGCATGCAACTGGAAAACAAACAAAAAAGAGAGGTGGTCCAAGCTTTACAAGACTTTATAAGGGGCTTTTTGATTTTTAATGGCATAAGTGTGATATGAAAAACAAGGAAATCAGCTGATCCGACGAAATGTTGCATGCCCGAAATAAGCAAGCACAATGGGGCCGTCGCATGCAAACAAACGTACCGTGCAAAAATTGTGTTAGTACATATGTAAAGGTCCGAAGTCTGACGACTGTAATTTCCTCCTAGTTACGTATATATTCCTACAGTGTTTGCTATCAATAGCTTTCTTGAGAGGATTTGGTGAGTTCAAATAGTGAAGCTGCGATGTACTCACTTGCAAATCCTCCTTTTCGGACAAGTTTCTTCTTGGAGAGAATCTTCATTGCCTGCAGAAAAAGAGGAAGAATTTACAAACTGCATGTACATAAAGAGGTGGTCTTTCTCCTTCCTTAGTTATCATTTGTTTTCATTTTTTTTTGGGGGGGGGGGGGAGGGGGTTTGGTGTGGGGGGAACAAAATACAGTTAAGTATGTCGGGTGTAACCACTAGAAGAGCTGAAGAGGCAAAGTGGGGAAGGGGGTTACAGGTGGCCTGACAGACAGTGATAGATGCATCCACACCCCAATGGGCTCCATGCACCAACAGGTCACAGGCACTTTTTGATCACTTTCGAGAGCCCAGTGGATAGGACACACAGCACACACAAACAGGGTGAGTAAAAAAAAACGAAACCCAAATGTCGGGCCCTTTGTTCTACTTAGGTTCTGCATGTAGCACTTTCAAAATCTAGGAGATTAAAGCCCAATTCATAAGCTTTCTTTTAGTACAAGAATCATTCAAATCACTCATGTACTTTTCAAGTTACAGAGTTTTAAACACAACCGCCGTTTTAAGGCTCTGTCCACGGATCACAAAAAAGTTCAGTGTTCTTTCAGCAAAACGAAAACAAATCACATAAGGATGTGTGTGAACAGGGTTCTAGCCAGGGTGAAATTATAGCGTAGGGGTAATTTTGGTTCAACGACTAATGCGAGCGCGGAGCCCTTACGGCGTGGGGTCCGGGGCCCGCTTAAGGGCCCCGGAAAATTTTGGACTCTAGATGCTCTGTGGTGCAATCTGAGGCAATTCCCTGCCACTTTCCCCTGATTTTTTTTTTAGCAGAAGTGTTAAACTTATAAGAAATTTTGTTTTATTTGTTTCAATGATTGATAGTCTTGCTCCTGTAAAATTCTTCTGTTTTCAAATTTTAGATTATGTTATCTTGTATAAATTGTTCCAAGATCGATGCTTTCTGATGTTTAACCATTTTTAGTAGTTCCTCAATGTTTTATAAAAAATTGGGATTTACTTTGTCAATATTAAGTGCGAGAACAAATCGCATGAACATTTCATATTTTGCGTTCATATTTCAAGAAGCCTTGTGTTGTGTAGCGCTGCCGTAGTAGCAGTAGTTCCGATTTTAAATTTGTAAATAAAACCATCCGATCGGCAGGGAGAGAAATTGTAAAACCATGGAGGTCCCAGACAGAAAAAGTTGTCGGCGATTGCAATTTCAATATGCTATAACACAATGTGAAGGAGAAATCTCATTTTTGTTATGTTAAAAAATATAATTGTAGATAATGACGATGAGAAATAATCACCGGGAATTGCTTCCTATCCCGGCCGCGGCCGGCCCCGGCGTGCGGGCGCGGCGCGGGCCAGCTCACACCGGCTACGCCGGCGAACTACGCGACCAAATTTTCCCTCAGCATTTGAGAAAGCAACGCATTCGTGGAGCGCTAAAAACTTGCTTTGTTGCAATACTTGCTGATTGGTTTTGTCCTAAGAACAAACAGATCCGTTTTTACTACCAAACTTATCGAACTGATATTATCAGCAACGAGTAGTGTGGTCAAAAATTGAAATTTTCGACAGCGACATTCTTCGAGAAGAATTCTTCACGTGCGGCCATCTTGTGGACGGATCCATTGATATCGTAGGGGTGCTTAACCTTTCTTTGGACATCGTTTCTCGAATAAATCCTTTACGAAAATTATGTTCCGACGTGAAGAACTTATTTTCAAACAGTAACATGTTTCGGACTTGATAAAAAGTATTATTTTTTATTTTAAAACAGTTGAAATGCTTGTAAATATTGACCTTTATAGGAAAGCACACCCGATACCGCAAAATGGTGTGGTCCACAGAGCGCTCTGTACGTGACATGGTGACACGTACGTCGTACGGAGCGCTGTATCTACGCAGCACAAAACAGCACGTGCTTATTGCTACATGTATCATAGCGAATGCGTGTGGCGCAGCATCACGGTAGGGGTATCGTACGGGTTACGTGCGGTGGGATCGTTGTTTATTTTTTCGCTGTGTCGTACGGCCAGTGCGCAATGCTCAAAGTCGCTGCGCTTGTATACGAACAAACGGCAGATTTTTTTTTTTCGCAACCAAAATTTATAGCGTAGCGGTAGCGTAGCGGCGCGATTTAAGCGTAGCGCTTATTTCCGAAAGCGTAGCGGGTGCTAGCGCTATTTGATGCCTGGCTAGAACACTGTAGTGTGAATTGTTTTCGTTTTGCTGAAAGAACACACACCTTTTTTGTGATCCGTGGACTACAAAACGGTGGTTGTGTTTAAAACTCCGTAACTTGAAAAGCACATGAGTGATTTGAATGATTCTTGAACTAAAAGAAAGCTTATGAATTGGGCTTACATATACTAAATTGTGCAAGTGCTACATGTGGAACTTTACTAAAACAATGGGCCCGACATTTGGGTTTTATTTTTTTTTGACTCACCCTGTACAAATCCATAGTGTCTTTGCATGAGTGTCTGGCTTCTTCGGCAATGCGTTCGAATGTCTCTCACAGTGGTCTCCCCCAACTCTCCCTTTTCTTACCGTTGAGAGGATACTTGTGCACAGAACCCATATATTATACAACTTCTTACTGATACACACTCTGAGTTATTCAAGGACCAGGCTGCAATATTTTAAGGGATGTGGGGGAAGGGGGAGGGTGTGGGGAAGGGGGAGGGTGTGGGGAAGGGGGAGGGTGTGGGAGGAGGAGGGTGAGGGGGGAGGCGCTGTCATGCTAGGGGCTGATGAGGTTAAGAAGAAACTTACATAGTGTACATCATCTTCCTCATTGTAAGCTAGTTTGACAACTCCGTAGGAGCCTTTACCGATCTCATCAGAGAGAAGGTACTGATTCAATTGCTGGTAATCCTGCAAAATAAAAATTTAAAAACAAAATATTTTCAAATTGTGTGAACAACTTTCTTGGTCGTGTGTAATGCTTATAAATGGGAAAGTCAGAAGCAATGTTAATCAGTATTTTTTGATTGACATGTAATGTAATGCTTCTCTCATATTCCAAATTCATTGAAAAGTTGAAAAGAAAATATAAGATACTCTCCTCTCTCACGTTTTGTGACTGAAGCAAACAAATAACACTGAATTTGCAAAAAAACAAGACCTCCAACAATCAGTCGGGTACCTGGATTTTCAAATTATACTTTGTAATTTGCCATCAGCAGGGAAAAGCCATCAACTGGCGCTTAGTTTACAGAATAAATTCAGGCACTATAATCCAGAAAGCCCTTCAGGCAGTGTTCAGGGAATTTCAAAATCTTGGTTGTGTTTTTCTTTCCAAATTTAAATAAGACTGCTCAAATCTCCTGTATCTGATTTGTGAGTTGAAGTTCAATTCTCACCTTAAATTGTTCACGAGAAGGTAAAATTACAAGTACTGCGATATATTCTTGACGTCTTTGGGATTTATGTTGATGATAATTCTATTCTAAAATTCACAAACTACCAGTGGGATTAAACTCCAGATTTTTTTAAATTTGGTTTTAATTCCACTATTTGGTTTGGTTTTTGGAAACCTGATATTCAAAACCAACCATAAAAATATCAGGCCTTTCATTTGTTGTGACACAAGCTGAAGAAAATAGCTTGAACATCCCCCAATTTGCTCGATAGTCTCAGATCTTATTTGGGGAGTCAGGTTGGTGTAGCGGTACTTTCCTCGCCTTCCACCGCTGTGGCCCGGGTTCGAATCCCGTCTGGGCCAATATGTGGATTGGGTTTTCAGTCCCTGCCTGATTCCGTGGGTTTCCCTCAGAATATTCTTCAGGGGCTTTCCTCCCACATCTAAAACCGTAATTCCTTCACATTGTCTCCTCTTTACTGGAACCCATGGGAGATCAGTGGATTCCACTGAATGGGCTACCCAGTTAAAACAAGAAATAGATAAATAAATAAATAAATGACTGAAACCATATTGACTCAGTGGTCAGGAGGACACTGCATGCCGCACCTCACTCGACCGTCACTTTTTGTCAGCATGCCTGTGAGTGTCAGCTTCTGATAACATCAGATAGCCATTATTCAGTTTGAAAAAATAGGATAACCGGATTTTGTAATATCTGATTTCTCCCACCGCTATCACAAACATAATTTGTTTGGAAATGGTATGAAAAATAAACCTATCAAGTGCTGATGAAAATTGAAAATACAGTGCAACAACAAATACTGACTTTTCATTGTGACAACATTTTGTGTCATTTTTATGCAGTCTCGACATACTGTACCGGCACATGTACGCGTGCGTCTGTACATTTCATATTCTTACGTACAAAATATGCCGGCACGGTATCACCCTTACTGGAACCAACTTGCATGATTTATTATACAAAAATCCAGCCTCATCAAATATTTACGTAGTTCAGCTTCCCTTCAAACGTGTGCCAACTTCCTTCTGCAAATTTTAAGCTAATGTCCCCATAAATCTTAACTTCCCTTTTTTTTTTATTATAACACCAGTGGCCAATTACTGCATGAAATATGGTCAACACCTTGGAGGTGAATTACTGTGGGGGAAAAGTAATATTTTATAAGTTTGATAAACTCCAGGTTGATAAAGGGTAACGGCAAATGTAGCCTTGATCACTCGATGATGGACTGTATGAAAAACAAGCTGGACACTTTGAGGTATGTATGTAAAGTCTGCACGGTGTGACTTTGAGAAATTATGAGCGCAGGAGACTTTGAATGCTTGAGTTGGACTTTGAAGTGGGCTGTGGGTTACATCAGACAAGGGTTGCAGGGAGCAACCAATGCATTCAATCACTTGCCATCTGTATAATAATGAGCCAACCGTTTGTACATGAGGGCCTACCGGTACATGTACTACATTAATATGAACTTTGGGAGAGGGTTGGGTTTAAAAAGGTAAGGCAAGACACACTGGAAACGTTTTGGTTTCTGTCACAACAACAAAAATTATGACTTCCAGATGTGAATCTCCAAAACTGTGATTCAGTCCCAAACGTACATGTAAGCCTGTACATCGTTCTGATAAAAATGTTAACACAAGCCAAAAAAAAGGGGAAGTCTGAAGCTAAATCGGCTAAACCAACTCTGGCTTTTTGGAGGATTGATTCAGATAATACATTTTATGAATACTTTTTATAACAATATACATATTTATATATTTTTGCTGGTGGTTTTATACTTATTAACTTTTCATAAACTGAAGTTTTCGACTTATGTAAATTTTTAAGTGTCTAAATATATGTATACATTGTTTTTATGTGCACATTGGGAAGAAGAATTTCACTTTTAAAGTCTTTTAATTGTGATGAAATAAAACATTGTATTGTATTGTATTGTATTGTATTGTATATTTACAATTACCAAACTTACAAAAAATGTCAAGGACGTCCTGATAATACCATAACCATTTTTATTTTGATCTTCAATATGCCTGGGTTTATTGTAGTTCGCATCTGTACGAAAGTTTGCCTTTAGTGAGCGCTGGGCAGACCCAAATTCACTGCCTACATTCTCCTATCATCTGTTCCCTTGAAAGTCAAACAAACCTTTGAACAGGCTGGTGACCTCTGGTAAAGGAATTCCAAATGACAAATAATGTCATTACTGCATGTCCCTTGCAGCAATGGCAGTAAAGTAGGATTTCATGGGAGGTGAATGGGGTCAGTAGGTCCATAGAGTATGGATACGTGTACACAGTGCAAACTGCAATGGAGTTTTTCATAAAGACGGGCCATTTATGGCAATAAAACAGTTGTGTGATGTGTACCACGCACTGTACACGTACATTTGTACATGTATGCAAAACTGTAAGAAAAACAAGTGCAGTACAACGTCCCTATAAAAAAAAAAAAACTAACAAACATTTGGCAAAAAATGAACATTCCTGTTGGCACCACAATTTTACAGTAATTATATTAAGCATTAATGGCTTAAAATTGCATGTTTATTATCAAGAAGATTCTGGGGACCCTGTGTGGTTTTTATAGCTAAGTTGTCCTGTAGTCTACATACATGTACACATAGAGGTACATAGAGAGCTGTTCAACATATTGTGCATAAACTTAGAGTAATGCTCTCAAAGTAAGGCTGCGACTAGAACGGCTTCATGAGCTACATCTGCATAGTCAGCACGTGGCCTATCTTACTACAATTATCGCAAACCTAAGACAATAGCTCTGAACAAAAGATTTTGTACACTGCCTAAGCCATTTCACGTGGTGAATTAATTAGCACAATTCTCGAAAAAAATTATTTTACATTATGCAAGGCCTAAAGTTTCTCACCAGGCTGGCCTTGCCTTTATGTATTTACCTGCACTGATGATATCGATATATGTGAGGATTCCTTCGTGGGCGGTCGCCGCAACCTGGGCGAGCCGACCGGCGATGCATAGGGTGAGCAGGACAACGAGGGGTAGATACGTCTCTGCGGCACATTGAGCTGGGCCGAAGCCGATCGGGTACCAGCGGGCGAATCGTTCCGCTCACACATACTCCTGGACATGGGACGGTAACCGGCGCCTCCTAGCCGGCCCCCCTCGCGCGGCGAGGGCGAGGGCGACATTTCCACAGGCGGCAGGTCATCATCCAAGGCACTGTCGAGTCCGTTAAATGTCTCCGATTTCCGGTCCCGGTTCAACAGGATTCCCTCGTTGAAGGAGTGCGACCTCCGTCGACCGTACTGATCCACCAGGAGAAGGTGGGGGTGCGCGATGGGCTCCACCGGCAGCGTAACAATCTCCTCCTCTTCAAAATCCATGCCATTGCTTCCCACAATGACTATCCGGGAGTTGGGCACCTGTGAACCGGAATCCATTATAGTAGACCCCATGCCGGAGTCGGTAGTCCCCTCGGGAACCATGGCGGTCATGTTCTTGGTCTCAAAAGACACGTCCATGGGGAACTGCACGGGCTCGTCATAGTTGGTGTCAATGTCTCCAGCATGTTCCTCCGTAATAATTGATGGCGGCCCGCTGTGTGAGGGCTCCAATTTGGAGATATCCGGCGTGTGTTGATGGCCGAGGCCAATGCTTATTTCTCCTTGTGATATATTGGGACTGTCCATTCTAAGGAGAGAAGGAGAAAATGTATAAATTTATTCAGATACAGATAAAAACATGTCGCAAATAATCTGTGATATAAGAGGGAGTAAAATATAGATATATATACCCACATTTACTACATTTGAAACAACGATTACTCATGCAGTTTGAAGCAAAATGGGCAGTAGCAGGCAGTACTGCTAGGGGCGGTACAGGGACTAATAGATTACACCAAGTATGAATTTCAAAATCACATAAGAATTGAGCAGTTCATAAAAAGTACAGGCTTATGCCTGTACATGTACATGTTGTAAAACACATTTAGGTTTTCATCTATAGATCTGCATTTCCTATTCTTTCATCGAGGTGTTCCCCCTACATGCTCATACTAGTCTGCAATGTGACCCATTAAAATAAAAAATGTCAGCAGAACAACGTTCCGATATTACTAAATCCATTCACACTATGAAATATGTCCAGTTATCTAAAAACCAACATTGACGGCAAACAAGGAGTTTCTCAGATTGTAACATTCTCACCTTGACTGTTGTAGGCTTTGGTCTGCATGTTCCTTGTCGGATGAGACCACTTTGCTGTTGTTACGAAACTTGTCGCAAATCGTACTGTTTCCTGAAAATCAAAGGAAAAAACAGTCAGTGAGACAAAAACGAAAGAAGACACACACAGACAGTTCACTCTTAACATTTTTCTACACATGAAACAAAAATTTTCTTACATGTATACAAATGAATTAAATGTTGTTTCCCTGGTTAAACTGTACAAATGTAGATACCAAACAACTGCACCATTCACAGACGGTACCAACTACCAACGTATGCACACGTATGCGTCTCAGAGAACATCACGTGAATTTGAACACCAACAGAGAATCATAAGACCTTAATTGGTCACTGTTCAATCACAAGTTGCCCTTTGAACACTGGGAGCGTGACCATACAAACACGACAAAAAGGAACGTGACTTAATATGAGCAACCAACCTGGCTCAATTAAAACATGACAGAAATGCATGTACTTGGCATTTTGTTCGGGCTGAAAATGGCGTGAACAAATTTCACGGACGATCTAGTCGAAGTGCAATTCCTATCAGATATTAACTGATTACTTTAACCTCAGATTTTTGTTTAGGCAAACAAGTTGAGTTCAAACTTGGCATTGCTCGGTTTTGGTTTTGATATGAGTACAGTGTACGTGTAGAGCTAAAGGGAAGTACATGTGGATGTACACACATACGTACATGTAGAATCTATTTATATTTCACAACCTTAATTAAAGGTAATATACACATGCAAAAATCAAAAAACAAAACTACCAAATTATTATGAAATACCTTACTTGACTGTAAGTGAATAATAGTCTCAAGCATCGTGTGAAATTATGGGTACTGGTGTGCTGTCATTTTCAAGAAAAGTGAAATCTGTGTGCCAATTTCCAACGATGGTCAGCCAACCATCGTTTTTCAAATACTGCCCCCAATTTACCAAATTTAGTTAGTCAACATTTTTGTTTGAAACCTTGTGCACCAAGGCAAAATTAAACAGAGAATAATTATGACATTTTTTTCGTTGCATTTCCCAAAACTAATATTTTGATCACAAAAAAGACACTTACATACCGTACATGTATGAATTTGCAGTGCACTTTTTCATCTAACATTCATTTGCAGTACACGATCACTTCAGAGCCACTTTATATGCGATTTTAAAATGTTCCCAAGTACATGTAAGCTTTAATGATTTCTCAATTTTATCTGATCATGTCTGAATAAAATGTGTTTCTAGCCTTTCAGTTGAGTTACATTATTTCAATATGCTAACTTTACGTACATGTACAAGAGCATATTCAATTAGTATTGAAAAAAGTCAATACACGTAAATGATAGACTACCATAGAATGTGAGCAGTCTGTCTCTGCTGAATTATACACTGAATTACTGATGTATGTACACTGTTCTAGCCATTAATAATTCAATGCAATCTCAGCTGTCCTCATGTTCAAATGCAAATAAAGACCAACTTGTGCAAATCATTTTGTTGACTGATTCAATGTCTCCTCATAATGTGCAGGGCTAGTAGGGATGTATCGGCACATTGTATGATAGGCTACTGTTACATACAGGTGCACAATGTTTGTATACATGCATTTACATGTATAGCCAACTTACAATGTAGTTCTCCATCGAAAAGAAAACTGTGCCCTTTTGAGAATAGTGTTTTGTATGCAGTATCATGATGTATTGTAAATATTATCAAGGAGTGTTCAAATACATACTGTTGACAGTAACCATGTACAATATACATTAAAGGCAGACTGCATACGTGTACTTGATTGTGATTCTTTACAAATACACGCGTCAGCCTGAATGTACGCATACATACTGTACATGTAGTCATGTACAGTTCATGTGCTTGTATGGTGGCCGAGATGCCACGTACAGTAATATTTCTGGGTAGAACAATTAATAATAAATATATGACAATGAATAAGACTGCTGCAAATTGCATTCTGACTGGATTGACCTGAAATATACAAATCTAAAAAAAAAATCAGATGGCCTGACGTTGCGATCTTAAAAAGATTTTCTTCAGAGGCAAACAAATATACTGTAAAAAATAAATACCGGTACATGACAAGACATGTACAATGTATCCTGAGGCAATAGTTTGTGCAAAATAAATGTGCATTTTCTTTCAGCAAGTAACTGAACCCTGGGACAGGAAGAAGGCATTAAGTGTGCACGTAATTTCTAGAATTTCCACTGGACTTGGGCACATTACATTTTCCCCCACATTTTATTGATCTACATGTTTATGTACATGCAGTGTAAATTGCTAATTCACCATCAATTGGGACACATCACTTTAGTTTTGTAATGTTAGTGGTTACTTATACAAGTATGCACGTACACCGGGCACTGTACGTAGCGATCTTTACCCTTCTTTAGGCTTGTTTTCTTACAGCATTCAGCAAATAGTTTTTTGTTTTGTTTTACGTGTTCAAGTGTCTTCATGTTTATTGCCATGATCATGGATCACGTCCAATTTAATAAAATTTAAATGTACATGTATACATCATGTAATGTGTACATATATTTAAAGCACTAAGCGGAAAACTTAAATTTTAATATTTAATGAATAAATTCCACATGTACACGTACATGTATGTACGTGTACAAATATGTAGCTCTCAATTAACCAAACTTGCATGCCCATGGAACATTCTGTAAAATTTAGTAACCTGATTTCTTTCAAGTATTTTGATGGGTTTAGAACTGCAACTCCAGCCATGATCACCGGTATATACAATTTTGTACAGGTAATGTACTGCATAGTGTTAGATTTTGGAGAATTTAGGGTCTACCGATATAGGAAGTGTCCTCACAAAAAGACACAAATGTGAAGACTATAAGCTTCTCATAAAAGAGATTGCATCTGCGCAATCGGCAGTACCACTTTAACAAACAAAATCTTATTCTCCCCCCCCCCCCTATTCCTAAACCATTTACAGTGTAAATGTACATTTGTACGGTGCTAAAAGTTGTCGGTGTGAACTCTCACCATAAACTGAAATCTACCTGAAAGAGGGTTAATTTTTCAACTATACACAGCAAATGAAAAAAAAGGTTTGCCAAGCAAGTGCACAGAGTAGCACACACCTATTGAAAGCCACGTTATCCTGAGCCTGAGGGCAGGGGGCCACTTATTGTACCTTGGACCGAAAACCCTTTTATTCAGGACAAAGTTTGGGGTTACTTTCATTCCCAAAAGAAAGCCTTAGGGTATTTTTTGCTCCAATAATACAAAGTTTGCCAAGGTATAGAAAAAGTCTGTGTTATGCTGTTAATACAATTTTATTGTAGTTTTTTTGGCAAATGGCATACTGAAAAATTAATTTCAAAAGAGAATTGCTGTTTTTCTGTGGTTGCATTCATAAGTAACAGGCTCTTTAATGAAACTCAAATAAAGTCAAAAATTAAAAACCGCATGATAAATAACAGATACCGGTATGTATACATGTAGTTTCAAATTATAAATGCTGAGTGTCCTGAAGTTAATTCCAACGGTTCAAATGAATAATTTCATGCAGAGTGCAAATAGAAACTAATGATTTTAGAATGGATGAAAAGATTTACTAAACGATAAAATTTGGTTTTCCTACCCATTGCTGAGAGCTGGGGGAAAAAGCCTGAGTCAATATAAAGTTTCGCAAACTCTCTTCCTTCGTTATCCCTTACTTTCTAGTAAAACTGGCAATTCAAACGTACAAATAATTTGATTTAGGAAAACTATCTAGTGTAACTTACCTGCACCCATCTTATGAGACTGTTTGTCTTTCTTCACCATGTCCTACAACTGAGCGAAAGCTGAACAATGCCTAGGAAGTCACACACTAGCCGGAGGGGGGCCACGTGTGCTACAATCGGCCGTGGGCCGGTCCACAGTATAACCGTCTGTAGTTTATGCAGCAGGAATTATGTGGCGGGAACAGACCATTACACGTGCACTATTTGCTTGCAGTTATACCCGTGCATCCACATAATTTGTGCTCGTGGCAGTGTTATATTTTTATTTTAGCACACACAATTAGATTTGCCGGCCGAGTTCTGTGCACCGAACATGCGTGTTAAACAAGCACAATTGTGCCAGTCGCACCAGTGCCTGTCAAGTTGAGTACTCCTGAAAACCACAAGCAGGTCGTAGGGACACTTGACCATGTGCCAGGGTGTGTGTGCTGGTGTACATGTATACAAACACCTCCAACAAGGGTTGAAAAAATACACAGATCTACAGGCAGGGTGGGTAGAACAGCTACATCAGCAGGTGCACACTGAGCCGGTTTATGACAGGTGGCAGCAACTTGCCAGTATAAAGCCACTGTACACACTGGGAGCGTCTTGACTATACACAGTCAGCCTGTCTAGCTTTCAGCGGGGCTGGACTATCACGAGCGCACAGCTTAGTGTCAACGATCTCCCCACAAGACACACACACGTACACCACAGATAATACAGGGGACCGATGTCACGTACAATGTACAGTGTACAATCTTTTTTTTTATCAAAGCACTGGTTGTAGCCTTTGGTACAGTAATATACCTCACGTGCTGCAAACTCAATTAGATGATTGGTAATAGCGGGGCGGTGCGGGCTTGCTCCCAGATGGCTCGCAGCGGAAGAAAACGAAGCGCCCCGTCAACGCCGGGCTCAATGAGTTGATACACGCACGGGGCGCCCCTGTCCTCTGGGATGGTCCAACAGACTCTGCCCGCTTGGGTTCAAGGTTGAAGATTGATTGCCGCACAACTACCTGATGGGTTGCAGGTTTAATTGGGGACCAGGGGTTGTTCCCGTGGCTCTCTATTGACTCTTTGCCGAAGCCCAAATATGGAGTCACGGCTTACAATTGGTGAACAGGCGCTGGCCAGACAGCATCTGTGTGTGAGGAGATGGAAATAACAGATAATGAATTATGCAGGACTGTAATGAGTGATGCGCATGTAGAGATAAGATCAAATAAGTCAACGGCACATGATATGTTCATGTACACTACATGTATGTCTCGAGACTACATATGGACATACGAAGTGTCTTTGTTTGTCCTTTCGTACGTCATATTTTGCTTATTAGCCTACTGTAACGCAAAAGTATTGCTTATGGCACAAAGGGCACTAGTTTGCTGAACGTGCCATTACATCACATCAACAACAACAACAACAACAACAAATCATAGACTGGGTAAAAGAGTGTTGGGCAGTCTGTAACAAAAACATGTTTACATGAAGGGGCACATCCAACAGAAAGATTACAGGATAAAAATAACTGAAGATTTACAAAACCTTGAAAATGTAGGCATGCTTGCTACATGTATAATCAGTAAAGATATGGCCCCATCAAAAATTTGGAAACAAAAACCAAACCAACAAACAATTGACTCAATCACAGTGAACAAACCAGTTACACAATTATTGACATCAACATTTTGTTATAGAACACTAATAGTATACCAAAAAGGCAGAAATTTCATGACACTTCTAGTAAATAGTAGTATCGTAGTACTTGTCATGGTCGGTACTTAGTCTTGAGTTCTATCATATTTTCAGTGCTTGAACTCACTCTCAAATTTTGAAAGATTCAGGCACAACATTTTTAAGTCACACTCAAGAGTGTCAGTGCTCAGACCTGAGTTTCAAAACTTGTACTCAAGTAATAAGATTCAACCTTTACTCAAAATCCTTATACTCAACAGAATAACTCAATACCAAAATAGGAACCATGAACATTTGAAACTAACTGAATGTACACACATTTTAAAGTCAAACTCACGAGTGCTAGTGCTCCGACCTGAGTTTCAAAACTTGTACTCGAGTAATAAGATTCAACACCCTAATGTACTCAACAGAAAAATAGGACTAAATGTAAATTTTGAAACTGACTGAATGTATTGATTTGTACACATTTTTAATTCACACTCAAGACTCAAGAGTGCCAGTGCTCAGACCTGAGCTTTAAAACTTGTACTCGAGTAACAAGATTCAACCTTTACTCAAAATCCTCATACTCGACAGAATTACTCAATACCAAAATAGGAACCATGAACATTTGAATCTAACTGAATGTACACACATTTTAAAGTCAGACTCACGAGTGCCAGTGCTCCGACCTGAGTTTCAAAACTTGTACTCGAGTAATAAGATTCAACACCCTAATGTACTCAACAGAACTCAATACGAAAATAGGACTAAATGTAAATCTTGAAACTGAATGAATGTATTGATTTGTACCCAAAATGTTTAATTCACACTTAAGACTCAAGACTTAGAGTGCCAGTGCTCAGACCTGAGTTTTAAAACTTGTACTTAAGTAACAAGATTCAACCTTTACCCAAAACCCTCAAACTCGACAGAACTCAAAACCAAAAAGGACTACATGTGTAAATTCAAAACTGAGTGAATGTGCAGGGGCTTTTTAAATAGACAGAATTAAACCAAATTATGAAGGCAATTGCCCAAAACAACCAGCAGAATATATACACAAACTACTTAACCATAAATCATATGTCCGTATTCTGTTAATCATGTCAGAGTCAGATCATGTTTCCATGGTGATTTATAGATCAGCAGATGCAGGACTTTAATTGGAATCAAGGCCAGTCCCCGGTTAATCAGGAGAAACATCAAGAGGTCACAGCCAGCAGAGTAATATTAAATCTCTTGACTCGTAGTTTATAGTTCAATAAAACAGCTCAAATGTACGTGTAGACTATGTACAGTACATTACTATCTAGGGTTTTAGTATTCCAAAATATATGTAAATGGGGACAATAATTTCTTCAAGTGTGTGTTGTTTCAAACACAAAATTAACATCTGCATACTGCATGGCACCAGTCTTTCTTTTTTTTACAAATTATTCAAAACATCTTGTTGTTGAATATTAATTTACAGGAACACAGGAACGTGCATGCATTTTATGCAGCTCATTACAACTGAGAAAGTGTAAAATGACATTGATGAACGTGAACATGTGCTAAACCAAATAAAAAAAAAATTAAAATATGAGGGCAGGGTACCGGTACATGTACATGTACCAGAGTCGTAAATAATTAATAATCCAAATAATTTTTAGTGTTACAGTGTAAAGAACATTATGCCAGCATGCAAAAGAAATGTTTTTTTTATTTCGAAAAATGCCAACTTTTCCATTTGAGATGTATATGTAATCCAAACTACATGTATGTATGTGTACATTTCAGCAATGAACACTGCACAACGTGGTATGTTAAAAGTATTTGGCAAATTGGCACAGAACTTTAAAAGCCAAGTAACAATCAAAACCAGTTGATCGTCCCCGCCCGCATCCTTTTTTGAAGCCGCATCTTTTTTTTCTTCTTTTTTTTTCTAAGGTTTTACAAGGTGCTGCGGCGCATATATTGCAGCCACTGCCAGAAACACCTGGGCAAACCCCTTCTCCTAGCGATAAGTGTTACTGGGTTCTTTAACGAGCATTACACAACACACAAGACCTACGACTTTACGTCCCATCCGAAGGACAAAGCAATAATAGTAACGTGCCTTGCTCAAGAGCACAAGCACCATGTTCACACAGTCAGGATTCAAACCCATGTACCACGGCACACGAGTTGAACACTGTAACCATTGGACCACAGCACCCCACATACATCTCCCTCAACGACAGTATCACCCCGCCCTGCCAATTACCATCTTCCCTCCAGTCATAACCTCTGTATAATCAGCAGGTGGGACAAGATGGGAAAAAACCTCTCTCTTTCTGGGCCTACGCAAGAGCAACAAGACCTCTGGTTCTCACATTTTCATTAACACTTCACAGGACGTGTGGCCTCTAGTTACCGCACCGAAACAATTTTACGCCTACGTATATTCAAGAACACATGCACATGTAGACATGGATGTGTACATGTGCATGTGCATACATACACATGTACATGTGCACACATACTTGTTCCGCAGTTGTGGGGACTACACACGAGTTGTTCCATGGTGCATGTACTATGAGGACCGAAGATGCTATGGGGACAGCAGAAAGTCCCCATAACTTGGTCTTAATTTGCCTAGCAATAAAAAACTTCCCCATAACGTGGTGACGGCCCGCCCACGCGCATACTACAAGTACACATGTGAACACGTACTACATGTACAACTACACGTACATGTGCACGTGTACATCATGTGCATCAATCTGCATCGGTGACAGGCAATTCCCCAAGTGTACCCTCCCCAATTTAATTTGTTAATGGCGGAAGCCACAGCTGCCGATTATTTCCTCCGCCGAGCACGTGATGTGCGACCGCAAACGTAAACATCGTCACTCCCGGTTTCGCAGAAAACCGGCCCAATTGCTGTCAAGGAGAGAGGGGAGCGCATACATCCATGTAGATTAAACACCTTGCAGCTTTCTACAATTTTACAGATGAAAATTGCCTGCGTCATTTTGTGTTGTGTGGAGCAGTTGCGGTGAAACCAGATCGCGGTGAAACATGAATGTAATGAGATTGGTCGAGGTTTAGTGACGTGTATTTTTGCAAATTGATACACACGTATATTTCAAGCCCAGAGAAGTACAAAATACTCCTGAAGGCATGCAATTAGGAAGTCACACAAAAAAGAGGAAATTAAAAGCTTGGCAAGGTTCTCGGGAAGAACGTTGCATCCTGACGCCAATTTGTTTCATCATATATCATTTCAATAGAGGTCAGTCATCACAAAAATGTGGAAAAGACGTGAATCTGGGACTGAGAAACATTTCCAATTTTGTTAATTAATACTTAAAAAATGTTCTTGACTCTCCATAATAGACTTTGTACACAAGCGCGGAAGTGACGTCTGGATAGTGGATACTACACCCTTTCCAGGTTCTCTTCCCTTTTTTTTCAATTTTAATGGTTTACAAAAAAAGTGAGAAGGGGCAAATCAGCTGAATGTATTAAAACTCATTGAACTTGAAACGAAGAACAATGTTGTGAATTGTTTTAAGTGTAGTCTACGTGGATCGAAAAGAAAAGAAAACACAGAAAGTACCGTAAAAGGCAACGACATCGTCACATCATGATCATGATGAAGCATTTCCACATTAGAAAAAATGTGCATGATTGATGTTCCTTGAAATCGGTTGAGTTTGTTTTTGACATGCCTTTATGTGAACACGACTAGTTTCATTACCCTTTTGAAACTCGCACCAATACTCACCAGGGTCAAAGTTAAGATTCCAAGCTTTAAAATGATATAATAAATAATGTCAGAACGTGTTTCCGCCGTGACGCTAGAGCCTCGCAAACAAATGTTGCGGATATTTTGGGACGCGCTGCACATCCTTCCCCAATTCGATTGAACAGTCAACCTGCCGGTTCTGGTCAGTTTGTGGAAATGTCCAAAATGTTCAATAGTGTTTACTTTTCAATAAAAGTTGGGGTGCCAGCTCCCTGTAAAGTTGCATTCAATACAAGTAGACAAGTTACATACTGGTACATGATCACTGCATGTGGCTTACCTATCGTATGTAAATTTACGAGTATACGGTACATGTTACAATGCACAGTACTTGTCCCTCTTGAAGCATACAACTGCCTGAAATTCTAAAGACGGGGCGTGCTCACAACCAGGGCAGCATCGGTACAAAAGGTGTAAACTAAAACACGTTGTGGCCAGCCGCAAAGAGGCCATCCAACATAAGACATGCAGTAAATGTTATTATTACAATGTATTCACTGGCTACAATAGATGCACCAATATACCACTGTACATGTATTTATATAGTGTGCAGATGTTACACCTATTGCACAGAGCAGTACAATATCATGTACAATGTACACATACCATAAGAGGAGAAAAGGTCCAACAAACATGACAAAACAATCTATTGTTGCAGAGAGGTTGTTGCTTTCATTGTGAATGCAAAT